GTAATTGATCAGTTATGATAAGAGATAATGCTGCATCTTATCTACGGAGTTCCCCTCCTCCCAAACCTTAAAGCGGTGGTACGTACCACGGTAGCTCGCAACATTGCAGCATGCAAGGAGATGGGACAAGGTTAGATAAAAAAGCTTGGCATAGGTGAGAAGATGAACCATTAGTGTGTGTATGTAGGCGTTGTTTTTAGCGTTTCTGCTAGTGTTCCGTACTCCGTGATGTAAGTTTGTGTCTCTTGTACTTATACATAGTTAGTACCTGTGTTAGGTACCTACTTATACCTATTTCCTCGCTTCCCTGCACTTTTCGAAACACGCAAGTAAGCGACAAAGCATTTAAACTAATAATACATACATCGTACATAGGTACCTAATTATGACTCTTAACAAGAGGTTTTACGGTATTTATTAAACGGATATGCACAGCTCATTCAAACAAGCGATGCCGGGAGTAAGACTAGTACATAGAACAAGACCCGGAGGTTGGAGGCAAAAGTAATACAATCAAAGAGGGAGAAAAGAAAAAAGGATGCACCTAGACCGCCGCATAGCATGCCTAGTACGCATTACCGGCGCTGTGCAACTGGGTGCTAGGGCAGGTTTCCAACCACCTCAAAATGTGAAAAGTGAGTTATGATAGTTGATATCAGAATTGGCAGATATCACCTAATCAGATGACGATGATGAGGATGAGGATGAGGATGAGGACGCGGATGGTAGGTATGTATACAGGTATATAGGTAAGTAGATAAGTATAGGTATACGAAATTGATTAATGCAATGTCGAATTGGCAGACCGCCTTCCGACGTGCCATCACCATCAGCCAATAGTCAGGTGAATATTACAAAAAGAAGTTGTTGAGCAAGGTTCCTTCTTGTCATATTAGCAAATTCAATCAATAGTTGAGCCAATGAAACGAAGTTTAATAATAATCTGCTTGATCCTCATTCAGCCGGCACGCCGAGGGTCGGGACTCATGGGGGACCCATTATCTTTTTTAGAAAAGGTACTCTAGTACTTTAGCAGTCTAGTCCCTGTAGTAGTTTTATACTAGCCTTGTGGGGAATGGGAACCTCCCTACTCGATGCAGGTGCGTCAGGTACATTGTATTAACAGGTGTATTAACAATTTTAGCAATTACGATAGGCAAATACAGGGCTCTTTCCTAGGCTATTAAAGTACTAAACTTGCTAAAGTTATTAGGCCAAGTTAACTACGTGCTAACTGCTGACTGCTGACTGCTGAATGCTAACTTGCGCAGTTCCTACCTCTCTCCCCCCCCCCCCCCCCCCCTTCCATAACCCTTCCATGTGGCATTCCTAAAACCCCCCCCCATCCACCGCCTCAATCAGATCAAGATTATCTTTCCTCGAATCTCCGAGATTTATCTCGGACTAAGGCGAGCACTCCATCAACAACGTTGGGTCGTTGTCTTACACCTTCATCTGATTTTTCCGATCTTATCTCCACGGTACACGGTACACGATACACGATACAGGGTCCAATCCCGACGTGGCAGAGTTGTAGGCTCTTGTCAACGAGGGTGAGGGTGATGCATGCGGTACAGATTGCACGGTACAGATACTACATACTACTACAGATACAAGGAAGAAGCCCTGCAGTTACTCCGTAACATACATACATACATACCACATACCACATACCATACCATACCATTACCAAACACACCTCTTAACTTACCAACCTAACCTAAGCACACAACCTGCGCTGCCAGGCTGCGTACACGGGTTTCGTCCTCGTGATCTGGGCATGCCCTATTCCATAAGCAAGAAAAAAAAAGGACGAGACCATACTCTTAGGTCGAACCTTGATCTCTCCACCCTCCAGCGCCTAACGCACTTCACTTGTCTTGATCCAGACCTACTAGAAATCCCCACGAGCCTCTAGGAACATCGCCCCTTGCATCCGAGGTCCCCATAGTCCCGTCTCTGACCACCTAGCTTCGCAGTCAATTGCGGTCGAGCCCATCAACACATATCCCTTTACTTACATCCCCATGCAGCCTGGTTTAGAGCAACAGAGATCTTGTCACTGACTGCTGATCCGCCACTGTTCGAGCTAGCAAGTAACATGAGCCCGTCACGATATAGTGGCACTTGTAACGGTTCATTGGTCTAAAGTTGTTAGTCGGTTTACAACAGTCTTCATTAAACTGTTGATACTTTGAACATTTACAGTTCTTGCTGTCGAGGTCGAATATCGGTATCCCATCAACTGCCCCTCTGAATTGTCTCCTCTTTTTTTTTGTTCGAGCCCGGATTCCCATGTTATCATAGAACAAAGGAAGAAACCGAAGCGACGATCGCCGCAGCTTTCACAGTCAGACGAATTTCTAAAGGATTCAACGACGGAGGATTATGATGGAAGTGGCCCCTTACTCATACGCAAAACTGGCCAAGTCAGAACCAAACTCTACCAGAACGGCACTCCCTAATCGACCCATCGTTTCTAGAGAGAGTACTCAACCGTCCGAAACCATGTCTATTCGAATCGCCTCCTCTGTTGGTTCGAGGAGTCCTGCGGCTCAAAGTCAGAGTGACTTCTCGGAAGCACCCAGCCCGTCGATACAGGGATCCGAGCGAGTCAACTCAAAAAGTCCTTCTCCATTTGATCCTGTGCATCAAGAGAACTGGGCAACTACGAAATCAAATTCTACATCTAACCAGAGCGGACAGGTGTGCAGGTAAGTTGATCAATTTCTCGGTGAGTTTCCAGTTCGGTTTTAACTCTATTCTAGTAATTGTGGTACTACGAGAACGCCATTATGGAGGCGTTCGCCCCAGGGTGCTACAATCTGCAATGCATGTGGACTTTATCTGAAGGCGCGCAATTCGTCGCGCCCAACGAATCTAAAGCGGCCGCCGTCGACAGTATCTACTGCTCCGAAAAGGACACCCGAGAAGACTTCTCCTAGCTCATGTTCTCAAGGCAACTCCGCAAATATTCCCGGGGCTACATACGTCGCTGCGGATCAAATGCCTAATGGATCGTGTCCAGGTGGGGGGCGATGCAATGGTACCGGCGGCGCAGAGGGGTGTAGCGGCTGCCCGGCGTATAATAACCGAGTAGCGAAGAGTGCTCAGCTCCAGAACCAAAATCGGGCATCTGGAAATTCAAGCGGGCCGCCTCCAGACGATGGGCCGACTCCGATAGATATAAATGCGCAGCAAGCCGCGGCTCAGAATACGACGGTGGTAATAGCCTGCCAAAATTGTGGTACTACAATAACTCCGTTGTGGCGTCGTGATGAATCGGGTCATACCATATGCAATGCCTGCGGTATGTGTATACTTTGACTTGTACAATCAGTGTTGGCTAATCGTAGTAGGGTTATATTACAAACTTCACGGAGTTCACCGGCCGGTTACTATGAAGAAATCGGTTATTAAGAGGAGAAAGCGTGTAATACCGGCGAATCAAATGGACAGCGGGTCGGAGGATGCAATGGCGATTGATTCTATTGAACAGCAGAGCCAGTATACCGAACTCGAGATGGAGCGTGGCAGCGTCAACGAGGACGGGTCTATTAATCTCGGTTTACGTCGAAAGACCGAACATCCACTCACATTACTCCCTGATCCGGTCCGGTCCGGTCCCGCGTCGGCTCCGATATCCTCGAACGATCTCACAGCGTATCACACTACTAATGCACCTCATAATTTCGATATTCGGGATTCTCTCACCGACGACAATCGTTTAGCCCCGCTGAAATCACTTGCGGCATTGAGTGATCGTCAGTCATCTCTATCCCCCGCGTCGTTCCTTTCGCCGTCGAGGAAACGCTCCTTCTCGGGAACTGATTCGGAATATGCACCGAGCGAACCCGGATATGATAACTCCAAAAGGTTATCTTCTATCAAGTCTCTTCTTAACCCGGCGTCGGAATTAAATCCCAACTTTTGCCTAACCGACAACCCCGCTGAGGCACTGCGTCTTCGATCGCCGGCTACTACAGTCATGTCAGCACCAAGTCCTAGTCCGCAAGGGATGATGTCGAACGTATTGCCCGCGATCCAATCTAGAGAAAGCACAGCCGAGGATGAGAAATCGAAGGCTGATAGACTAGCAGCACTTCAACAGGAAGCTGAACGGATACGTCAGATGCTCGCGGCAAAAGAACGTGAGATGGCCGCACTGCAGAAGTAGGGGAAATTGTCTGCTCTCTAAATTTGCGTTGATTTTTATTTTGATGACCAAAACTACGACCAGGAGCCACAGGAGTTAATATAAGGGAACAAAGCGAAAACGCAAAAGGACGAGTCAAACACTACGGGGCGTCATAGGGTCGAGTTTTTCATGAGCGACCTTTGCTTTTCGGCAGCATAGCATATGTACTCGGCGTATCGTTAGCTCGCAAAATACATGCGAGGGATAGGAGGCATGATATGATGAATTGTGGAGCATGGTTACAATATTCCCATGGCATGAGCAATCCAACTGATTTTAATGGTATCCCGCACAGCAAATTATAGAAGGAGGTATGGAACGGAAAGGATAGGGCCGGGTAGGGGATTACTTCAACCAAAGTATCTTAGGTAGTTTAAGGGGATCAAGGCGTAAATCACGAGCTTCATAAATAATATTCCACCAACGCAATAAATACCAAGACGTATAGGAAGAATAGTGGTTTACTGTGTTTACCGTGTTTACCCCGTTCTCACTAATCATCTCCTACCAGGTAAATATCCAGTCTCGCATAACACATGACTTGATTGTTCATGACAGAACTCATTCCCCGCCATTATTCGTACATATAGGTTATCACTACCAGCCTAGCCATCCCCCTTTACCGAACGAGTTAACTTTCTTAACATTTTCATTCCAATAGAATTCCTTATTTCAAATTCTACGTGATCAACCTCCACCCAGAAATTGGCAAGATGGACGCCTTGGGGTTAGAGGGTAACATTCATCCCTTGCCGGACCAGGCGAGAAGGCGGAAATGCTAGGGATCATGGGCATCTATTTATTATACCTGCTCGGCACCCCAACCAGCATCGGCCTCGCGCATGTTGGCAGGGGGCTCAACAGAGGGGACGAACTCGAGGGCGATATAACCAAGACCGACGATACCGACGATAGAACCAGCGATGATACGTAAGACGCCGTTGTTCAAGAGGATGGAGCCGACAAAGACGTAGAAGATGCCGCGGCCGATGAAGGAGAACATAAACGAGGCGTAGCGCGAGACTTGCGGGGGGATCTGGAATTCGAGGAGGGCGACGGCTAAGCCGAAGATCAGGACGTAGGCGCCGATTATGATGGATTGGCTGGGGAGGTTAGCATACCTAGGTACATATGGAGGAGGGTGGGTTGAGGGGATGGATGAGGAGCTACTTACAAGCCGAGGAAGAATTGCGATATTCCGCCCAGTACCATAATCACGCCCACCGCGAGGTTGACGATTCGACTAAAAAGGGGGGGGGAAAGTCCGTGTTAGCTAGCGCATCCGTATATTTTCTTGGGCGGGACAGGAACGTGGGGGGGAGGCGTAGTAGTGTATGTAGAGTGTAGACTATGCATACAATGAGTCGGAGAAATCCATGTTTGCGATTTGAGGAGGTAGGATAGTAGTATCGGTGATAGATTATTGATTGAATTGGTGGTGTTAGTGCTCGCTTGTGTTGTTATTGTTTTTTTAATAAAGAACGCGCGAGATGGGCTTTCGAAGAAGAAAGGAGATGGCTTCGTGTTTTCGTCTAGGCAGACGCTTTGTCGATAAGAGGTAGGTTAGGTTAGGTAGGTTAAGTTTTATTGGAATTTGAGTGGTCGTAGGTTTTGCGTCAGGAGGCTGGAGCTAGTTTATTTTTATTTTTATTTTTTTTTCCCTTATTTTCCCAGGTTGGCGGTCATTGCCTTTGATAGGAAGAGCTTCCGGGGCGTGTGTTGTTGCAGCTTGCGTCTGTTAGCGTCGACAGGGGGGGAGGATTTCTTCAGGGGTTGTCGTCATCTATACCAGCCACGTGGCTAAGCCTCATTATCTGTATACTAGCCACATGTGGTGGAAAAGGGGGGAGTGGTACCTAGATACATACTCGGATGATTATACTGGGTAAGTTTATATTAAAGCTTCTTAGATATCTAAACACAACGCATTGAACATGTCCTTGAGTATAAATACGCTTTATAGAATAAGGTAAGATGATCCAGTAACTAGAAATATGTGTGGTTCCTAGATTTTGTTTATTAGATTACTACCATCCCGTCTTCCTAACTCTCGAAATGTTAAAGGAGTTAGGTCAGACACGGTCTTAATATTATGTATATCCTTGATTAGCATATTGCTCTTATTTTTAGTGAAGTTACTTTACGCATTGATGTTTTTGTTTATATATTGTTAGTATAGAAATACTGTTGCCACCAACGGTATACTCGGCGTATAATACACAACGTAAATTATAGTCATAAGAAAAATCCCTAGCAGCAATCGTTTTACAAATTAGGCCCTTGCTTAAGTCAAATCGCCTCTAATTATCTTTACGACTGCAAGGAAGTTTCCCAGAAAGACCCAGCACAGAACTAGCAAAGTATACCGCCTCTACCGCAGTCGACGCACTGTCATCATCAACTAAAGATACGTGTATTATACTTTAATGATATGTATACCCAGCATCATAGCGTAGATATAGTGTTGATAACCTACAAATTATTGTCTATTACGAATGGTTTAAGTTATTTCCATCGTATAGCAATACTCGTGCATTTAAAGCTTTACACAACTAGTCCAGTCTAAACACAGACCTTTTTACTTGTTAACTCTATTCGATCTATTCGAATAGTATATATATCTAGGCTACTCTCCTTTAACCCAGTCACTTGCTTTGTATCGAAAACTAACCTTCGAGCACCGCTTGGAAACAATTCACTACGAAAGACATTACCCAGCATACATCCAGCATATAATCAAAAACAAATCACGATATATTCTTGTAATTCCATCTACACTACCTCAGACTTATATTTCCCTATAACCCGTCTCTTATCATCATCACGCTAAATCTTCTACAGGATCTATGCAACCAATACATTCATCATGTCTTCCAATCGTAGCCGACCTCATAAGGGAAATCATGGGGGAGACCCTCGAAACCCCCTTAACCGAAGCGCGAACATCGATGAGTCCCAGAGTACCTCAGTATGGGTGTCCAACCTCCCAGCAGATTGTACCATCCAGCAGTTGCTCGCGCCTATAAGACGAGTTGGCAAGATATTCTTCGCCCACATCAGCCCTCCCAACAAGGACTTCACCACGTCCGCAGCCAAGATCACCTTCTGGGATCGTCGAGCAACCGACAACTTCCTCGAGCTTATCGAAGACGGCAAGATAACCATCGGAGGCCTGCAGCCAGAGGTGCGGATGAACCGGATCCGAACAGCGCCGCGGCCGCCGTCCGCCCGCAGCCGGGTCCTCGTCGTCTGGGGCTCGCCTCACGTAGTCAGCATGGAGGTTCTAGAGCCGCTGTTCCGGTCGGAGATAGACTTCGAAATCGACGGGGTCGAGGAAATGATGTGGCGCGGTCAGAGAAGACTCGAGATCCGCTTCGGCTCTCATCGAGCCCAGGCTAGTCGCGCTGAACAGATGCTGCAGGAATTAAAGGCGGGGAAAGAGACGGAATACATCGTCGAGAACCTGTCGCCAGAGCAGCGCATCTTTATACGTCTTATTGAAATACTATGGGGCGGTGATCCTTGCGAGCTGCCGTAGAGATATACTCGCTCCTTTATTTCGACTCGGAAACGGTTGAGCTAGGAGACGCATATCACCTACTACACGACACATTCTACTATTCATGGTATATGACCAGGCTTGGTTGGTCACTTGAGATTTCTTATTACAACCATCATAATTTTCAGCATTGACATTTTCATCACTATACAATAAAGTTGTCGCGCTACCTTTACCGGCACAGCATAGCGGCAGCGACAAAAGTTTTTACATAAGTTATGATAATCAGAGGGAGAGCAAGGCCTCACCGAAACAGCAATAATCAACAGACATTGGGCAATAGCAACAGGGGCAGGATATCAGGGTATTTACAGGGGTATATCTACTATAATAGAGTAGAAGCCAGGCGTTACTAGATCAATACATTTATTACTTAGCCTACCTATCCTTGACATTCACTCTGTGTATGACATCGATCACCTAGGTATCATCAATATCCTGACACAGGAGCAAATTATATTATTTTGCGTAGGATATAAGGGGGGTATTTCGTAATGCTTATATTCTAGGGTTAAGACCAACTAGATATTATGAGACTGACTGATATGTGTGCTGATGTCGTTTCGACGGGGTATAAATTATACGGGACTTACACATAGTGAATACCTATTCTCGTATGAACCAAGATTGTATCACCTATAATCAACTTGCGTCATCTACCTCAGCTAAGAGAAGAGTTCCCATTTAACTGCTGTATAAAACTTGATAGGTATGGATGTGGTTTTCTAGTAGGTACGAGAAACATTTATAATAATCATTACCAACACCTTGTTCAGGACCATCTTCATACACAAACTGATACCTTCTTACTGCTAATATCTCCCTATAGACTATTTATTTACCTTTTGGATCCTATTAAAGTAGCTAGGTAAATCTTAAATTTCACTACCGATGTCCTCGGGTGCCAGCCGGACATAGACACACATTCCATACATATCACGGGATAAAACTCGAAAGCCAACTAGCTTGGAAGCAAGTAGCCACACGTACTAAAAGAATTCCCTATCCCAAATGTCTCTTAGGGAGCCCTAACACTCCACTTATATCATCAACTTAAGACGCTAAAAAAACACTAGCAAAAAGAAAACGAAAAGAAAAAAAAAACATACAACACTGGGGATTCGCTGGTCGTCACCGACCCAACTACTAGTCCAGCGGTATCTGGCTTATCTATGGGAGAGCGGACGGGATCCCGAGTTTTCCAGATCCTATGGTCGTATGTGAAAGAATGATGTCTTGTTGATATTTATATACCTAGGTGGGAGCTTGGTCGGCCACTTGAGTTTTGATACCTTGACATTATCTTAGAACGGCCAAAGCGCACTTGGATACTTATAGAGTTAAGATACACTATTTAAAGAATGTTTTAAAAGACTTTAATAGATATATTTATATTGATATATAGGTAGGTATAAATATATATATCTGGATGATTTATCGACATCACGTGAGCACCTCCTTTGCCTCTTTCTTCGTAATCGTATAGTATTGGAAATGTCTTAACCATAACATCGTCACATTTGTAACTGCAAGGTTCCAAATGACCAATAAATAATATATTGATGTATAGGAATAATTAGGTCTGGTGTTAAGAAGTACGAAACATATCATAAACATTGTGGTATACTACACAAGGATATTTATGTAAGCCAAGCAGTTTAATGAACGGAATACATAGAAACCACGACTGTCTCTTCCTGTATTTATAAATTATATATAATATCAACATAAGACTCGGTACAACGAAATACGTATCCCAAGATCAAAGCAAACTACTTAACTTATAGAATCGGGTACGATAAATACCCAGAGAAATACCACAACAACCACCCGTGCAGACGACACAAGCACTCTTGGCTTTATTCCAGTATCTTGGGATTGTCAACACTCTTAGTCTTAGTCCCCCCCCCCCCCCAAATTTCCAGAAGTCGACCGGTCTTATACCTAACCACAACCACCAGACTCCTAGTCTCGGCACAGCGACGACGATATCCAGCTGGGCGAAAGGCGTACCGGGCCCTCCCTAAGAGGTAAAACCTTATAACATTCCTCATACATTAGAGCCGCCGTAGATTACCGCCAAGCGGTTCGTGCGTGTGTTAAATTAACAGCCCTATTGGCGTCGATCGCGAGTAGCTTGTTTGAGAATCATCCCCGTTGGAAACCAGAGCGGGCTTAAAGGGTTACGAACGGGCTGTGTTGTGTTATAAGGCCTGGTAAGTAGGTAGTCTGTGAGGATTGGTGGTTCGCTGCGATAATAAGAGCATGGCCCAATTTCCAGCTGATGAACTTTAATGTTGCCGGTCATATGCTGAACTGTGCCTCCTCGCGATTAACCATGATGGTCACGACCTCTACGAGCAACGGCTCGGGTCCGAGAAGATAGGTATGTTTCTACTCCATAACTAATAGATATCAGCCCATCGTTACTCTCACTTAGACTACCTAATTATGTCAATATAATTTGACATGAATCTGAAATGCATTAGAAAGAAAAAAGGAAAAAAAAAAAGGAACATCGTAGATCAGAGACGCTTTCCTAAACTTGGGCTGTGCAAATCCAACAACGCGGCGGCAAGATTAAGTTACAACATCATCCACCCAGCGAGTAGCAGCGCCGAGCCATTTTTTTTTTCTATGACCATTCGATCTCGACCCTATTTCGTATTAGACCCAATACCTAACGCACGGCCACACGTTTAGGAATAGAAACTCTATCTCGGACCTGGCTGCTGCTACAATTAACTCGGGAGGGGTAAAGGGGGAGAGGGGGGAGGGGGAAGACACGAGATCGGGATTAGGCTTGCTATTGTTATTGTTATATTGTTATATTGTTTTTTATTATTCTTGCAAACTCCCCTCCCCTCCCTTCCCCCTCCCCCCTCCCCCCTATTCCCGTCTCTAGCACGATAGACTCCAGATCCAAACGCTACAAGGCCGCACGTTGTGGCGCATACCCATAGCCCAGTCTAGGTTTCCAGGAGAAGAAGAAGAAGAAGAAGAAGCAACGGAGGGTCTGTAGCATCGTATCGTACGTGGAGGGTTGGTTCGCAGGGAAAACCTGATATACATAAGGTCGCAATCCCGATTACGGGATACGCGTATCTCGCACTTCTTCTTCTTGTTTGCTCCTTTAGAACCGCCTAACTGAGTTCTCTTGACTTACACCTATTTTCTTTCTTTTCTTTTTTCCCCCCCTTTCTTAGTCTTTCCTCACCATGATAATGATATCTCGACGCTCCGCGATACAAATGTAACGCCCCCCTACGACCACTAATCTCCGGCATCTCTCTCTATTTAGTGGTTGGGCCCATAAGAGAGGACCGAATCCCCATATCCCATATCCCATATCCCATATCCAGTCGAGATATAATAATAATAACTAGCTGGTTGGTTGGTCCTGTACCTAAATTCTCAAGGCCGTGTCCTCGGGACTGAGGAGGACATCGCCGCTTCGCAATGTTTAGGAGAGATAATAATGCTGCTGCTGCTGCTGCGTCCGGGAACTGGACAGCTCCGGCTCCCCATGGGAACGGGTCTGGAGCAAGTCAAGTATGTTGTCATGGGCGAAAGAAAATGCCACTCCTAAGCTAACAAACATCCCCAACTCCAGCTATCCAAGCCCAAGGGCCCGCCGTACCCATTAACCATGGCCATCGTAGGCGGCGAGCCCACCCCCGCAGTAGACGACCCCATCGCCGTCGTCCTCCTGCTACTATTCCTCCTCTCGGCAGCAGCGCACATGGCCATCCTACGCATCAACAAGCAGCGCAACCTCAAGTTCGTCTTCTCAGGCATGTTATTCGCGCTGTGTCTTCTCCGCAGCATCTCGCTCGTCGCCCGCATGATCTGGGCCTCGTACCCCAAGACCGTCGACGCCGTCATCGCCGCCAGCGTCATGACCCAGTGCGGCTCCGTGCTCATCTTCATCATCAACTTGTTCTTCGCTCAGCGTGTCCTCCGCGCCTATCACCCCCGGCTCGGCTGGCACCGCGGCACCTGCGGCTTCGTCTGGTTTCTCATCGCTTGTGTCATGTGCTGCCTCGTCATGGCTATCGTCGCTACTATTCACAGCTTCTTCACCCTGGACCCTCGTGCCCTCCACGCCGACCGTGCTGTCCAGCTTTTTGCCGGCTCGTATCTGGCCTTCTTGGCTTTCCTGCCCGTGCCTGTTGTTGGACTAGCAGCAGCAGCACAGCACGCGAGACGTTTCCGCTTCCGCCGCGTTGAGAAGTTCGGTGCAGGTCGATGGCGTGCTAAGGTCGGACTGCTAGTATTCGCATCGCTCGTGGCCACCTTGGGCGCCGCGTTTCGGGTAGGAGTCAACTTCGACGGTCGTCCTGGTTCTAAACCGGCTTGGTTCCACAGCCGAGCCTGCTACTACGGCTTCAACTTCGTCACCGACCTCGTTGTATCTACCGCATACCTACTAGCTCGTTTTGACCGGCGCTTTATCGTACCCGACGGCGCTCAGGGTCCCGGAGACTATTCCCCCATCATCCCATCTATGCACTCCACCTCCAACAGCAACCTCGTCGGCAAGCTGCCCATCATGGGGGCCAGCAGACACACAGCCACGATACGATCGCCCCTGATCCCAACGACCCCAACCCCCACTCCCACTCCATCACCACCTACTCCCACCCCTCCTCCCCAGTCCACAACGCCATCCCCATCGTCCTCGCAGTCATACCGCAACATCGGCGCCACCGGATCCGCCTACCACACCGACTCGTCCAACACAGCCGTGCACACGAGCAGCAGCTTCGAGCGGAAACAGCACTCCCTCTCCCCTATACCCCTCCCCCTCCTATTCCCACACCAACCCCAACCCCAACCCCAGCCGCGCAGACCCGCGCTCCGCACCCGCACCCGCACCCGCGGCCGCCGCGCCGTCATGCTGCGCATGCGCATCAACAGCGAAGCGGACGCGTACGGGCCCGACTGCGGCACAGAGCCCCTAGTCGGAAACGGGGACGAGTCAGAGGAAGGGAGATCGACGTCTCGGCTGCGGGCCCCGGCTCCCGCACATCTCGGCCCGCCGATCCTGCCCGCGCTAGATCTAGATCTAGAGCTGCTGAGCGCGACGTTATTGGCGCCGTGGGCGCTGGATAATTGGGGTTTCGAGAGGGCGTCGTCTAGACGGGGGTCGCGGAGCGTGTCGTTGAAAAGTGTGGGTGGGAATAGTAGTCGCAGTCGTTATAGTGGTAGTGGAAACAGCAGCAGTAGCAGTAGTAGCAGCAGTAGTAGTATTAGAAGTAATAGTGTCGGTGGCAGCGACGGAAATAGCGAAAGTGGAAGTAGGGATATAGCTATAGCTATATCTATGAGTGCTGGGAGTAGCGAGAGGAGGAATAGTAGCGAGATGAGTATTAGGAGCGGTAGTAGTCGAAGTTATACTACTGGTCAGCCATCGATGCGGGCGAGGACTCTGTAAGGGTATTCTGCCGACTGAATGAATTGCTGGAGGTGGGAAGAAGTTGCGGGGAAAGACAGGAAAGAAGATATTGTATACTGGGAGCGAGAGAAGCATTGTTTGGTTACCAATATCATCGGCGTCAAGGAGCTGCTATAATGAGGGAAATACTGGTGGAGGATATGTTATTGCATAAAGATGAATTAGAAGTTGTGTGCATATGTATACTACTACTCAACAATACGATATTTAATCATTATACTTGAGCAGTTGGTTTCTATAAAGGAGATTTAATTCCCACTTGGGATACTTATAAGGGTTTAATCATTAACTAGTTATAATTACTTCTGTTACTTCTCTAGTTATTGTATCTAGTTAATTCTTATTAACTTCAAAAAAAAAAGTCACGTCCTAATAAAGCGAGCTCATCTCACAATCGAACCCAAAGTCTTCTCTTTTCTTCATTCATGAAATACAATGTTTGGGTAGCTACTCTGCAGTGGGCTGCTCATAATGCTTTTGCCCACCAAAAATGGGCTCCAAATGTGGTATCGTAACTAGGGACGCCATAGTCTCGCGTCAGATCCCTTCCTTCGCTATACCAACCACATCGGCACCGGCCTAGTTAAGACCGCTCGCACTCGAGGTTGTTGACGGCTTACATACTGGAAGATGCTACTTGTGGCGCCGGCACATTCGTACGTTACCTTCTGACTTTCGGCATGGCAGGGGTATAGCGATCTAGGCTCAACGTAACTCCCGGACACCTTCAAACCTTGTACCCACGCTTGTCCAATGCGTGGCACTAAGATTTGTTGGACGCTTAGAGGAAGTAGTCTGGTGTGCCTATAAGTTGAAGTTAGTCTTGATGTCACTAGGGAAATAAAATGGCCTGTGAAGCTTACGTCGAGAAACCATCGGCTCGCCAGCCCGTGGGCACGGGTCAAACTGTAAGCTGTACGAAATGGTAAGCATATATTTTATTTTCAAGTCGAAGCTCCAACATCTCGTCGGGCTTTAGTATAGACCACTTACAAGGTATACTTCAGATGTTCGTCAATTTCCATGATGGCTGCTTGGTTACCACATCGATAGCAGTAGTTAGGTGCTAAGAATAATTAGTAGACTGCCCCTCTAAGCGCGATATTATAACGACTCACCAGAAAAGATGGTTACCACATTTCTATCTTGCGACCAATTATATCCTTCCATAACCAGTTGGTGGGCTCGGGCGATCAAAGTCAAACCGTTGTTATGATTGAATGCCTCTGAAATATCCTGCCCAAAGGTATAACCGGCACCGCGAGGGCTAATACCCCAGCCGCATCGGTCATCCGGGTCAGACCAAAGCAGGTCGCACATAGGACCCTCATGCGGAACTTCTTGGATTCGGTCAAGCGCTCTAATATTATCAAGGGTATCAATACTAGGCGAGAGACCACCGTGAAGACAGAAGATTTGGTTGTCGATAAGGGCAGTCAAAGGAAGGTAGTCGAAAAGATCGGTAAAGAATTTCCAAACGTTGGCGTTACCGTATTTCCGAAGGCACTCGTCGTAGAAACCATACACTTGGGTGATCTGGCGGGACTCGTGGTTACCGCGTAGGATGGTAATGCGCTGAGGGTATCGGATCTTAAGGGCAACTAGTAACGTTACCGTCTCGACGGAGTAGTATCCTCGATCGACGTAGTCACCTATACTAATAATTAATAACCATATTCCCCATAACTCTCGACCGGTTATTGAATAACGTACCCATGAATAGGTAGTTGGTATCGGGGTTGGGACCGCCAATCTTGAATAGTTCCATCAAATCATGAAATTGACCGTGGATGTCACCACAGACCGTCACCGGGCATTTCTACACAGAAGTGAGCAGAAGTAGGTTAACACAGAATACAGAGCAACATACCACCGGCTGAACATTAGACTCGTCCTGCAGGACCTCCCTCGCCTAGAACATAACGATATTAGTATGGTATTTTATGGTGAGACATGACACAGCTGCAAATGATATGCGATGGCTCACCTTCTCACAGAGTCTCTGGACCTCAGATTCTGCAAGCTGTTTGCAGTTCATCAGGCCCTCGATCCAACCATCTAGAGTGGGGATTGTCGTGGGCTCTGAAGGGGGCATCGGTGCCAATTCAGCAGGTACTCGCCCGACATCTTCCATATTGGTATCCATGTTGATAAACGGAGGGGCCCAAAGTCAAGTCGCACGATGGTAACCAGGGGTATTCTATCCGTATTATCTGGCGATAAGATCGCGGGTTCTTTCGAGAGGCCCGAGTGAGATCGTTGAATCGATAGAGAGTCAAGGGGACAGTTGACTCGGGATGACGTTTAAGGCACCGGTAACGGGAACGTAGCGCCTCTTGGTTGATGTGTATGATTTGGAGTGGGGTTTGGAAGGGTATCGTCGCAGGAGAAAGAGGATAAGAAGAAGAAGAAGAAAAAAAATACACAAAGAGTTATTAATGGTAAACTCGCTCAATACTTCTTTTTGGAAGTTTAATAGTCGTTCTTGAAGTATCCTGTCGCGTGTCAAGTGGGATTGAAGGGGGTATGTATTGTGTATTGTGGGAGTTGTCACAGGCGATTACGAAAGTAGGAATTTTCCCTGTTTGATGAATAGTAGAATAAGTAGAAGACCGTCCAGTTGGACCTTACAAAGGGATGTTAGGTACAAAAAAAGTACCTTAATTCAAGGGCTTACAAGGGCTACAAGGGTAATTACAATGTACTACGTACCTCCGCATTGTGTACTTGAATGTACGGAAGTCGCCTTCAAAAGTTTTATCCATAGGTTAGCCCTTATTAGCTTGGCAAGTCTTAGCAACAACTATCAGCCGTAATACCAAATATACTCCTTTTTATACCTTAATTTTATCTATTTATTTAACTTTAAATATATAAGCTATAATATTAAAATTTATACCGAAATAGATTTAAGCTTTTATATTTACGATATATTTAAAAGCTATATTTTATAAAATATATTTAATTATATAATTATTTATATAAAAAATGGTAAATTCCAATATATTTTATAATTTTTAAGTGCCAAATAGATCAAGCTGCTTAACAGCTATTTAACAGCTATGGCCAAGGCTGACAGGTGTTTAGTATGGACATAACTTTTGAAGGCGACTTCCGTACGTCAGTTGCCACTTAAATTGCGGCTCTTTTCTCACCCCACCCCTCAAACCCCCCCCTTACGCCCCCTATATGCCCTATATTTATAGGTAGTCTTATAAGGCCGCAATAATCTAATTATCTACCTAGGTTACCTACTAGTCAAGCATCTAATAGCTCACTTACTGTCAAACTCTCCCTATCAAATGAATTGTTTCTAATTTATGTATATGTATATAAATATGTATATATGTATAGATCGCATTCAATAATAGGTACTAGAAGATCGATCGGGATTAACTATGTTCAAAATGCGCGGGAGTTGCCTTTAAGACCGAGACCAAGCGCAAAGTTACTTCATCTAGGTAGTAATACATCCAGGGCCTATGCCAGCCCAAGTCCAACAGGACTGTTAGCTTTCGCGCCTTGGGGTTCTCTGCCCACTAGATCTCCAAAGTCCAACTGCACTTCCGAGAGCATTTCGGCATGGATTTTGGCTCTCTCCATACACTGTTTCCATACGGCACCATCCCTCTCCGTGCTGCTCAACTGCCTAGCTAGAATTACGTTAAAAGCATCCACTACCTCCTTGGCCCATTTCACACAGGCGCTCATCATCGTCTGGGGGAAGCAGCTTTGGAAGCAGCCTACGGTATTTTTGATTATGCTGAAATAGACGAATGAAATCTGCCAGATGTAGAGGTGGAGATCGCCTTGGAAGATGCATTGTCTATGTCGAGTTAGTATATGAAAGACTTCTTCAGTCCCTTCTAGAGACCTACCTTGAACGCTTCTGAATTAAGTCACCACGAGCCTTAAGATATGCATCTCGGGCGCGATCCTCGAATCCTAGCCTATTAAGCCATTCGACATTACGTTTCGTTTTAAGCGGTTGGCTATGCGAGTCGACAACCTCTCGTATAATCAGACCAGCTAGTTTTGTGCACCTCTCCTCGATTTTGAAGTCGATAAAGTCTTGTGCAATAATATTGTTCTTTAACCCACGAGCAAGCTTCTGCATCTTCTCAACGCGATCGACGGCTAGATCAAACTTCTGGAGGGCGATGTCGATGTCAAGCTCGTCCATCTGACCCTCTACCCAACGGAGATTTTGCTGTTTCCCATCCACCTCGATTAGCATGTCCTTAATGTCAGAGAGCGTCTCAAGTAACTCCGTTTTCTGTAGTAAACCTGGATCGCGGGAAGCGAAGTAATTGATAGTCTCTTTAGCCTTATTATTCGCTTCCATCTCGGACTGTAGGTTCTTTCGTAATTCCTCAACCGCTTTTCGAATGTTTAATATTAAGGCCGATTTCTCGGGATCTTCTTGCTTTTCTGTTCTGTAGATGAACGATTCCTGGCCGACGCCTCGAACCATGATGGCATCCGCTAGTTTATTCCTGCCGCTGAACGACTCCGTGGTTGCTGCCATGTCAACAATCTCGACATCCAGAAGCGGCCAACAGCGATCCGCAACTAACTTAGTCGCTGGGCCACGTGTGTCGTTCGGGTTGTCCGTCTTACGTTTTTTCCGCGAAGCGACAAGAAGGTGATCGTTGAGGAGGAATATTTGCATAGACCGCCTTGATTTGTACGTCGCATTGTCGAGCTCGATCCAAGGTCCGGCATCTTGGATAACATGCCTCCCCATCGAATTGGGTAGGAACTTCTGAGAACCCTCGACATTCTTGTAGAGAACTTGCATTTGAGTATTCCAAAGGACTGTTCTATCCGCCACCGAGCTGCGTCTATCTTTCTTACTTAAACCAGTCGAGAATTCTCCATTCATAGGAGTGCCGTGGTTGTTAGATGCAGCTCTGAGCGCATTCGTATTTGTAGCCAACTCTTTAAATAAATTGCGCAAGGTGCGCATTTCCGACTTCAGTTTTTCCGCTTCCTTGCTAATCTTTATGAACTGTGCCCGGTTTTGATAGACACTTTGCTGTAAATCCGCTGCTGCCCTGGCTTTTAACTTGCGCAAGTCAGTCTCGTAGTCCCTGATCTCATCTTCAGTAGCCTCGCTAAGGATATTGGCGACATATTGATCGGGGACGAGTCTCGGGTCTCTTAGTGCCTTCGGGTCTACAGTTGGAGGTACGCCCCTAGATAAACCCGCACCCGGACCATCACGCGACGGGGGTGGCCGAGGCCGCGATGCCTGCTGATCGTATTTGGAAATATCGAAGGCGGGCATAGAAGGAACTGGAGGAGCACTTGGGTCGAAATCACTGGGGAGATTATTAAACCGGGTTGAATATCGTCGCTTGACAAGGTCGCCAGTCTGAAGATCATAATTAGTAAGTAGAACAATGCTAGAATATAGGAGCATTTCGGCCTACTTTTCCACCAGTTGCGGGAGGTTGTCGCTGTCGGGGTGGCGGTGGATTGTTAGTCCCAACTCTCCCTCCAGTACTACGAGGAACTGGAACGCCGCCATCATTTGGAATAGGATCTGAGATTTGACGAGGCGCGCTGATAGTAGGTCGACCTTTCCTCTTAGGACCGCTGCGGAGCGAGATCTTACTCCTTTCTTCAGACATGATGAGCGCTTAGGTCAAAATCGAATAGGGAGGGAGGAAATGAAGGTAGTAACGTAATTAGATAGGAATCATTCGGCGTTAATAGGTATTACATATATCATTCAATGCAGTAACTAGCGATCCATCAAGGACCAGCTTGAAATGAGGGATAAAGCGACAAATGTGATGAGTTGAAGTTATTCTTAAAACATTAAAACATTCTTGTAAGAAGTTGAAGTTCGAGGGGTGCGGACGCGGCTGAGGCTGAGCACAGACATTCATTCAATTGCTTCATAGGTACCTAACCTAATAGCATATGCAACTATATGCAATTATGTGACATATCTAATCGGCCGGATATATTTGATAGCGGGATTGCACTAACCCTTGTTAATGATTAGCGCAGTACTCGATAACAAGGATCCGAGGCTGAACCGCGATTGCACGTCACGGTATCGAAGTTAGGTACGGAATACAAAGTGCATTGAAAAAAATTACGGAAGAGGCTGCTTTACTTTTAAAAGTCCCCAGCTTTAAGTCATTGCACTTCAACGACCTTTCCTTCGAAGCAACTCTACCAAGCTTCAATTATTTGCGTCGCATAATTATATAGGAGGAAATTAGTTAACTCGTTGGTCTATTTTTCTATTAATACTATTTGGTTCCTATCATCACCCACCAGTCGAGCTAATTGGTGCCCCCCCCTCCAAACTTGTTTCCCAAACCTCAAATCGTCACATCTATCAAAATGGTCCAAACGGGTACCGCATTAACGATATCCGCCGCCACGGCCGCGACAGGCCTCCTAGGTAAATATTTACATACTAATTTATATCTTTTCATCGCCGATTAGTTATAGACCTTTACAAGCTACTTTTTCTCTTTGGGCTCACAACTAATAATGTCCAATAGCCTATGCGATCTACTTCGACTACCAACGTCGTGCGGACCCCAACTTCCGACGAAACTTGCGACGGGAAGAACGACGACAAGCGCGCGCAGAGAAGGAAGAGGCTGTATTGCAGACTAAGCAGAAGCGCAAAGATATTCAGAGGGTCATTGATCAAGCCACAGAAGAGGGCTTCCCCACTGGTGTCAATGAGAAGGAACAGTTCTTCATGGACCATGTCCAGAAGGGTGAATTACTCGCTGCCGACCGTAAGTCACATGCGCATCGCATATAACCTCAATCTACATTGCTATGTCGAGAAAGCTTGACGGAAGCTATTTCAAGGACAAAGAGTGCTAACCCATTACGAACCTATAATAGCATCAAACACACTAGAAGCTGCGCTAGCTTTCTACAAGGCTCTCAAGGTATACCCGACTCCCGGTGACCTAATTTCCATCTACGACAAGACTGTCGACAAGGTAAGAAGATATGACTTATACGAGCGCACACCCCGCACTGAGCCACGAACTACGAGCACCCTGCTAACCCTCCCACCAGCGTGTCCTCGACGTCCTAGCCGAAATGATCGCATACGACAAGAACCTCGACCTAGGCGGCGGCATCAACCTCTCCGATCTGCCCAGCGCCGGTCTGGACTAGTATTCCGTCTCTAGGCTTCAGCGCTCTAGCCCTCCACTCCCCATCACCTTCAAATATATATTTGGAAAAATGGCCCGGTTTCGCTTTTTGCAGCAGATGAGGTTGATTTTAAAAATAGTAAAATACCGTCTGTCTACGAGAAAGCCTTGAGCATCGGATTAAAAAATGACGACCCAGATACTCTCTATACACAAATAAATACGCACGCAAACACACATGGATACCTTGTATGATATATGATCCGGCGCGGCCGGCTGGGTGGCTGCTGGTCGTAGGCTGCCGGTTATTCCGCTTTAGAATAAGGGTGGCTACGTTGTACATTTTCATGATAATGTCTGGTGGCCGGTATAGACAAATTATGGATCATGATTCTTTCTATTATGCGATTGCTCAAGCCTCCGTGTATAAATAAGTACTACTTCAACTGTGATGATAAATATCTATCTACCCTAGGTTAAGGGTTAAGAGACTTCGATCTTCCTACCCTTGCGATCGACTCTCACATCCCGTGGGTCGAAACCGCCATTACCCCAGGTAGCCCACTCGGGCGTCTCGGGTCCCATATACTCTTCCGGCATCCAGTCGCCATCTGCGCCCCTCTCCTCGAGTAGCTCAAAGAAGCGCTGATAGTCAATCCTAGTATGCCATTTCCCATCTACCCTAAAACGCTCGCTAGCGATGAGTACGCAGCAGCTATGCGCATGCTCAGCCGCGATGCCGTACCCTAACCCGCGCTCGCGGAGTTTCTTATCGAGAGCGGTGACGAACTCGGTGACCTCAGCATAGAAGGGTACATTGGCCATACTCAGACCCGCGCCGGCGCTGCTAGAGGTGCCACAGTATGTAACACCCTTGATCTCAACGAAGCAGGGCAAGCCCTTCTCAACAAGGTCCGCATAGCCCTCGACCTCGTCCTCGACGTTGAACCCCTTGACGAGGGTCAGCCGGAACACGGTACGCTGACGGAAGCGTTTCTCGCGCAAGATATCGAGGCAGCGCTGGAAGCGCTCCCAAAAGTCTCGGTGTAACGGCCGATCGATCTTGCGCAGAGACTCCTTGTTGCTAGCATCGATGGACACGTATAACTGAGTGACAGCCTTGAGGGCCGCGAGCTGCTCTGGGTGTTGGGCATTGCAAACGAGGAATGAGGAGATGCGCTCGCCGTGTAGTAATGCTAGAAATTCATTGATGTGCGGGTAGAAAATGGGTTCGCCAACCAGGCTTAGCGCGCAGTGCCGTATGCGCATTGCTTCGGCGAACCTCTCAGCCCTGACACCGGGGACACCGCGTAACATTTTGATTTTCTTGTAGTGCCCGGCTTTGACACCGTCGAAGATCATCTCAGGCGGGTCGACAACCCAGCGCCAGGTAGTCCCAACGGGATTCGTCCCGTGGCGCCAGCAGAAAACGCACTTGTTGGAGCATGATAGCGACGGCGTAGTCTCCATGCACTGATGCGACGCGATTCCATAGAAAGAAAATTTATAGCAAGAGCCGCGTCCGCGTAGTGCCGACTTGGTCCATCTGCAGATCTTGACTCCTGAGTGCGAACCTACGATGGAATAACCCTGCTTAGTCAAAGAGGCATACGTAGGCGAGTTCTTAGGTACCATCTCCTTGACAGTTTGGGGTGGCCTCTTCGATTTTGGCTTGTTGTATGTAGTGAAGTCCACGGCGATTGGTGTAGAGTTGTTGGAGACTTCTGGATCGGTTCGAGAAGTCTTCATGATCCTCCCGAGGTCCTCGACATCGTCAATGTTTCCCGAACGCCCCTTTTTCAATTTCTTTATCGCTACTGTCTGGTCGATTTCGACTTCTCCATCATCATCCCCAGAGCCGTATTCGTCTTCGCTTTCCACATCATTTCCGCTACCAGGTACCCCCTCTCCCAAAGATCCCGTGCGGGCGACGTGTTTCAAGATGTCTACCACACCATCGGTCCATTCGCTAAGTCTTTCTTTAAGATCTCGTTTCGTATCTGCCATTCCTAAGGGATAGGCCCTCTTACGACTCGTAAGCCTAGCCATCCATTTATCAACCTCCTTAGCTTGAAAGCAAAACCCTTCTTCTTCGGTCGGCCATCCCTCTCTGTCACCTAGACCGAAGACAGAATAGCCAAGTAGACCAGATAGTGGTGCGGTATCGATTCTGAAGTCATGATGCGTTTCTGTTAGATGCTCAAGCAAATTGTCGTTGATGGAATCGATATTGTAGCTAGGTACCAAAAAGAGATAGAAGTAATCTATGGGTGTATTGCTGTCTGCTGATTTCGGTGGACTGATGAAATATTCGTCGTAATCCACTTCGGCTAAATCTAAGACAAGAGGATCTAAGAAAGACCTCTCGGAGCCGTCAACCTTCTCTCTCAACAAGGTTCCGAGAGTCTGGGCAATCCCATTGGCAGTCCTCTCCGTGCTTCCAGTCAAGGACGAGTAGAATACGAGTGTTTGTACTGGTGTTTTAGACTCTTCGCCCTTGCGCGCGGTATCCGTTCTTCGTAGCTCGCCTTTGATACGTCGCGGTCCGGTCGTAGGTTCTTTCGCCTTTTCTCTCGGCAAGTTAACCTTTTCTTCTAGAACTTTAGTATCTTCGCCTGTGGTAGGTTTTGTAGTCTGTTGATCAAACTTGAAAGTATCGGTAGGGATCTTTGGCTTTTGTCGTAGCTCTATGTATAACCAAAGTACTGTTAAAATACCAGTTGTCGCAAAGAGTATCGCGGGTCGGTGGTCATGCCATACTTCAAGAATACCTAATGATTTAAATGTAAGCAGAAATTATATAAATATGTAGTTCTAAATAAATAAGTTTATTCTTACCTTGTACCGACCCATTGACATCTGAGCCAAACTCCCCTATTCTGCTCGTCATCTTTGGCCGCAGTTATCATAAAATTTCCCTATCCAACATCGAAGTTTGAAAAGTTCGCGGGGCAAACGTCGCAATTGCATACATAATAGAATTTTAGAGGGGCATTAGAGCCCCGCAGTACCCCAGATTTCCAAATGTATTTTGTACATATCTCTAGTCCAATGATATCGATAACGATTTCAATAACACAGGTTTAAGTATTTAAATGCTATCAAAGAGATGAGACGAAATACCATACGGGATAATCAAGCATAAAATAGCATTTTTAAGCTACTTAGGTAGTTGAGAGAACACATAGTCAATTAATTGACTGCAAGTAATGTATATCTTACAAGAACAAGGAAAATTACAATGCGATGTCCGACTTGAATAGCTTGTTGTTTTATTTTACTCGAGTACATGAAAAACATAACGTCACTCCTTACTATTACTGCTATTCCGGTATCTTGTGATCAAACCTCAACATACCTTGCCGTAAACAACAACAACAACAACAATAACAATAAGTATCTTGTCCGAGTACCTGGTTTCAGTATTTCTCATTTTGTTCATAGAATCTGTCAGACACACATTCAGGTTTCTCTGCACTTTTGGCTCAGACCTATTAAGCATCTGGGTCGCTCGAATGCTTGCCTTCGTCATAGTCCACACCTACTAGTAAACGGTCCATCATATCTATGTAAAGGTCTCTGGCCCAGCAGATGGTAACCATAATTGCTAAGGCGTTCCATTGATACTGGTTCTCTTCCGACAGGTTCAGTCGACACGGAATATGGCAGACAGCATCCGGGTTTTGGGCGTCCATTGTGACGATGAACACAATATGCTTGAAAATAACGAAACAAAACAGTACAGGCGCCTCTGGTCGTACTTCTCCAGGCACGAGGGCTAGTTTATCTCGCCACCACGTAGCTAGCTTCGTCATTTCGGTTTGGATGACTACGTCCATGTCCGACTTATTTTCGTCATTCATCTCTAGTATCACAATATTGGGCTCGAAATCACGGCGATATTTTCTGATGTTTCCGTCGGTTGCAGACCATCGTAAGGCCTGCGTAAGTGTTTGCTTAATTTGATTGACAAGTCTGCGTCCGCATCTATTATTATGTTGTTCATCTAGATGTGACTTTTGCGCCCTTCGGAGATCGCGAACTCGTCCATGAATATCCATCAGCTTGCGAAGTGCTGTAGCACCTGTAAAATATGAGTATCGATATTTAAATTAAATTTACTAATATTAACGTACCTTGATATTCTAGCTTATCTGTGCGCGCGTATATTCGTGGTCGAGTGCTTACAGCATGAGTCTTGATGTAGAACAAGCCTTCGGGTAGAGGAACGCCTCGAAAGTGCATTCGCCAGGTTGTCGGCATTAGAGTGTATTCGTCTCGCGCCTTTAAAACCTGGTTGAGGAAAACTTGTTCATAGCGCCATCCTCCTTTTGGGTCGTGGTCCTGAGTTGTCTCTTCACCAATAGAAGACTCAGCTAGATTGCTTTGATGGGACGTGTCACTCTGCGACCCATCCGTCTCTATTGCCTCTTGTACGGTATTATCCAGATAGCTCGAAGTATTTTCCGCGGTATGTACTGAGAGCTTATCCACCTCGCTACCCTCGCTATCTTCGCTGTCTCCTTCATAATCGAGAGCTACCTCAATGGAGTCCTGGATATCCTCATCAAGCTCATCGTTTTCCTCCATCAGCTGGCTCGCTTGCGCCCCCGTAGCGAGAGCTTGAATCGTATCATCTTCATCTTTGATTCTAACTTGTCGTCCATGGAATTTCTCTTTGTTAGAGACGGGTTTGGTAATACGGCCGCAAATAACCTTGTCTGCTTGTAAATTGTCATGTGTTTTGGCATTACTGATAGAGCTGTTTTTGGGTACTTTGCGTGAATGCCAACTATGGGAACCAGTCATATTGATGGTTTATTACAAGCTTCTGCGAAGCCGTAGTGTAATCGGCAAGGGAATATGGTGAGAGTTGCGTGAGTTATGAATAGGACCAGACTAACCGGTACGGCCATCTAGCTGAATTTCTCACGGTGATAGAGTCAAGGATAAGGCAACACTGATTACCGACCAACGGGGATTAACGGATTATTCATGTCTTGCACATAGCGCTAATGCCGTCTTTGGCCGGATCGACAACGCCGAATTATGATAATAATTATAATGGCGTAGAGAGGGCAGATATGAAATGTGAGATATGAGGATATTACTTGGCTGTTTGTTTCCGGTGAGCTTGTGACTAGCAACATACCTCTTTCTAAAGTTTCTCTATCCGTTGCTTACGGTGATTTCAAGAATTATTAGGTACTTAACCTAAGCTAAACTTACATTTGTTTTAAATAATTTTCTTATAGATATTAAATAGAAGGAAGCCGCGCTACGTCGTTTCTATGAGTAGCTATAAGTTAGAAGGTTGTACCTGTTGAACACACTTTAGCTTAAGATATAAGTGAGACTTGCACAACATGTACCTATGTACTTAAGCTGCAATATCGATGCGCTAGTCCTAGTGTAGTATGGCGCATCTTCCCATGTAGAGATAGATCCAATTAAAAAAGGAGGCTACCTAACCTTACTAGGCACCTATGATGCTATGTGCCACCTGCACTTAAAGCTCCTATGAAGCTCTGGGCACTGACAGCTGGAATTCAACTGTTCGCCTGATTTTTGAAATTTTGTCTGCGAGACCGCGACACACGCGACGCCCAACTTAGAACTGCATTAAACCCAATCCCATATTCAAGATCACTTCACACACTTCGCACACCTCTTTTTAAGTCTTCTTGTCAACATATCAACTTTTAAGAATAGCATCACTTGAGTATTATATTCATTTTTACTACATTATTGATGACTGATTCCGGCCTTTTTTAACTTGCGGATTTCAACTCTCTTTGTTCGCAGCCACTTTTACCAGCATTCTCGTCCTTTTTATCGACCTCCGACTATACACACACCGCGCTTCTAATTCTCAAACACCTTTTTCCTTTTCTATGAAGATTTGTATCCAGGCAATGTGCAATTTTTCGTAGATCTATTTTACTACAATATGGCTACAGATTGGAACAAACTCAAGGTCGTCGACCTAAAATCGGAATTGAAGCGCCTAGGCCTACCGCAAAATGGTCTTAAGGCGGACTTGGTAGCACGCCTAGAAGCTGCTGATTCCGAAAGAGCTGCTTCCCAATCTTCAGATGAAGCCCCTGAAGAGCCCGAGGTTATTAATGGGGAGTCACAACTGGTGGAGATAGCCCCTGAAGCAACGGAAACTCCAGAAGTAACGGAAGCTCCAAAAGTTTCCGAGTCAAGTCCTCCTGATGAATCTCCTAAGCAGTCCGAAGCCGAAGCTGAAGCTGAAGCTGTACCAGCACAGGAAGTATCCGCACCCGCCGTTATTGAGACGCAAGCCGCTCTAGAATCATCGGCCAGCGAGACGCCGCTACAAATTACCGAACTAATACAGGATTCACAAAAGCGAAAGCGAAGATCTCTAAGCCCTGCGCCATCCGCCGACGGAGTAGCACATAAGAGAGCTAGACAAGAGAGTCGAGATAGCCAGGAGGATCGCGTCGCAAGCTCGACCGAAGAGAAAATTGATGCAGTGGTAGAACCTCAAGAAGAAAAGAAGGAGAGCGTAATCCAGACTCCCCCCGATATCGAGATGGAGGGCGCTCAGGATGAAGCGCCAATCGAGCGCGAACACAGCAACGGTGTCGTTCATTCAACACCGGCAGATGATACTAACCCCGACGTTCAAAATGGACATGCTGTAGAAGTGGTAACGAATAAGACTCAGGCAACCTTGGAAGAAACCCCCGAAGATGAGCCTTCTCGAGAACAACCTTACACCGCACACCCGGCTGAGATAGAACGAGACGTAGAGCCGTCCATCCACCCCGCGACCTCTGCACTGTACATTAAGAACTTTATGAGACCTCTTCGACCGCAGACAGTCAAGGACCACCTGCTAGACCTCGCTACGCCGATGGGTGCTCCCATCGAAGAAGGTACTATTGTTGACTTTTACCTTGACACTATCCGAACACATGCGTTTGTAGTGTTCAACACCATCTCATCTGCCTCAAGGGTACGTACCGCACTTCACAACCGCGTCTGGCCCGACGAAACCAACCGCAAGGCTTTGTGGGTTGACTTCATTCCGTCAGAGCGCTTCACGGAGTGGGTTGATATGGAGCAGACATCTACCGGAGGGCGCGGTTCGACCAATCGCTACGAGGTCATGTACGACAACGATGAAGACGGTAACGTAATTGTTAAACTTGAAGAATTCGACGGCGCCGGCCCTACTACAAAACAAGCACCTCTAGCACCAGAACCTCAGCCCGAGCGCAAACTTTCCATCCCCACCGGCCCTTCCCGACCATTCCCGGGTGTTGAAGGCGCGCCCACAGGCCCACGCAATTTCAACTCAACCCGTGCGCCCGCATCGCACCCGAGCAGAGCGGGAAGACTAGAACAGCCCGGTCAATCGACGAACGCGCGCCCTAGCGTTACATACCAGCCCGCTCCAGACGATCTGGTCAAACGACGACTTGACACGATCGCAGCAGCCAAGACCAAGGATTTCGATCGAGACTTCGGCAAGGAGTACAAGCGTTACTATTTCGAGAACGGCGAAACACTCGTCGACAGAGGCCCAGAGATTTTCCTTGGCATCCGCCCGCCGCACAGGGAGCGCCAGCGCGAGCGCGAGCAGAGACGCGAGCCAGGACGGGAGCCGGCACGTGAACCAGTTCGCGAACCAGCCCGCGAACCCGGACGTGGTCGTCGAGGCGGTGGCAGACGACGTGGCGGCATGCCCATCTTCCACGGCGTCCCTCGAGGCGGCGACCGGTTCCGACCCGGAGATTCCTCAGCATCCGGCCCTAACGGACGCTCGCGATACCCCGACGATAGAGGGAGCCGTCGCGACGGTCACGGCCATGGCCGAGATAGGCCAAATCGACGAGATAGCTACAGTCGTTACTAACTAACCAACCCGCTGTAAGATGGACTCGAGGTTGAACGGCCAAGTGAGTTAGTTACGTGAGTTATTGCTGGTTTGCTAAACACGTGAGAGTGCCTGTATATGAAAAAAAAAAAAGAGAACGAAGATAATCAATCAAACCAGAAACGTACCATTGCGTGAGAGCATTCGCGGAAAGTCTAAAAAAAGAGTAAAGGTCTTAAAGCATTTATGGAGTACAGAGAGAAAGCACATACGGAAACAGCATCATCGCAAAGGCAGAACGGGACGGACGCATCGACGCATTTGTATAAGGAGGGAAGGGAAGGAAGGATACCCAGTCCGAGAGAGCAAGCAAGTTAGCAAAGCAAAGCAAAGCAAAGCAAGCCTGGCCCGGCCTAGCCCTATTGGCAAATAGCATCACGAGTTACTATAAGACAGACGGGCGCCTAGCTATGTAGGTAGTATAGGCAAATGCGCAAAGCGCGTGCTAATAGAGGACGTTTCATTCCAAAAAAAAAAAAGGCCAAAAACCCAAATTGAAGCCGGTGGCTTAACCTATGTATCATCACCTTTTCTTCTCCTGACTTCGTGAAGAAGGTTCCCAACTAACCAGATAAGTACTTCCTAACGTAGCTCTAGTCAATACCCATCCCAAAGCCCATTGATAATACCTCTCCTACTCCCGCATAGCGAATCGATGAAGACTCCCGGAAAGGACCAGACACATAGCGAGAGTATTTATTTTAGGTAATCATACGATGCCCCCCTTCTCTATGTAATAATCCAGGAGCAACCTCCTCCCTAATTTGGTACCAACAATCTCGGAAGCCCACATCAGTGTGTCTTCGAGGGATACCACGTCTTCCGGTCGCACGTCCATGCCCTTCAAAGTCCCTTTGGAATTAATCGAAGCCAATCGCTTGTCGATATGTTCGTGGTACGTCTTATGCTGCGGCCTAGACGATAAAAGGGGTCAGGTTAGTCCCGAATGAAATATAAATGCAGGGGCATCATGATAATAGAAAGAGATGAGGTGGTAAGGGGGTTTGTCTGTAGTTAAAGATGTAGGCAAGGTAAGGTAAAGTAAACTAAGGAAGGGTAAGTTCCCAAGGTAAAAAGGAGGCGGATGGATAACGTACCAAGCAACATTCCAAAAATACGCACGGCTCCGCCAGTACTCCCCGGTTCCGCCAAAGCCCCATACCGCTTCTTTGTACTTTGGGTCTAGGAAGCGATTATTATATGATGCCGTACGGGGCAGTTTCAAATACAGACACACGTCGAGGTGGTCTTGTATGCATCTCAAGTTCCGTAGCGAGTCGCTGTCGCTTCCCCGGGGTGCCCAGCCGAACACATCCTCATCTTTGCGAGCGAGCAGCAAAGACCCTTCGACGATTGTGAACCGTCTAGACACAACGGGTCGCTCACCTTCTTCTAGCAGCACATGCTCACGCAAGAAGGAGGAAATTCTCGAAGGCGGGAGAACAGCGCGCATACTAGCTTCCAGGACCTTGGCCGCCCTCACTATGACAGTCCATGAGAGCTGCGAAAGAGCTCGGCCCGCGAGGGAAGCTTGGTCCTGGTCGTCCCAAAAGTAGTATTTCCCCGTAGTGTCAAATATGTGGTCTGAATCGAAGATCATGCGGGCGAACAATTCTGTATTGTAGCATTTAGCTTGGCAAAAATTGATGACGTTAAGGGTTGGGGATCTCGAGATGTCTATGTATCCTGACTGTCTGTCGCCCTGGTCCTCAGCCTATGCGGCCAGGGGGACATAATGTACTAATTTGGTTTTAACTAGCTCTTCTTTGGGTATCTGGAAACTTTCTTCGTGGATTATGGCGTGACGAGGTTGAAAGCCTGGAACAGATCCATGCTAGGCATCTGTAGGGGATAAGGGCTTTATCGTGATGGCCTCCTGGATAACGGCATCTAAGAGGAGAGCCAAAGTCGTCTTTCCGGATGCGATGCTACCAGAGATGCCAATGATGAAGTTCTTCAAGACGTGCTCCCTGGGTATCGTATTTTGCTCGGTAATAAAACTGGGAATGTAATTTGCATCGAATCCCGACTGGGCGAACGAATCGGGATTACCTATTAAGGCAGTCTCCATTATCTAAAAATATAGAAATATGTTTGGAGCGATTGCAATCAATACCTTAAGATAAGACGATAGAATGCTGGTGACTTTTAATATGTAAGAGGTTAACAATGTAGAGTATAAATACATGCCAACTATTATTAGTTGTAATATATTACCTAGGTACCTTACCTAACCTACATATGTAGGAGGTACTTAGTGGAAAGTGCTAATAGCTTTATGTTCTAGGTACTTGCATGTTCTCTCCTCAAGTCGCTCAGCAGACGGAAGGAGTACTGCTATATATGAGACGAGAAGAAAGAGATAAAACTTAATATATGTGACTATATCATAGGAAGGACCTACTTGTACCTAACTTGGGCATACGTTAGGTACTTATAGTGATATTAACGTAATAGAAACAAAAAGGAGGCAGGTAGACTCCTACAAGTTCTACATACGTTATAAGGTGCTATTAAACATAATAGGTAGGTACGTTTTAGACTACCTACCCTTATGCATATTTCATTTATTCCATTCTACAGTTAGTCGTTACAAGGAGATATATGAATGAATCAAGGACAACGCATTTTGCTATTTTATTTTATTTTATTTTATATTTAATTTGGAATCCATCAACTCCTTTATGACACAATCCTGACCCAATCGGTCCCTGATAAGTCAAAAAATACCCATGTATACCCCTACCAAAAACGGACTTTCTAAGCAGCGCTAGCCAAAGGCTCCGGTTGAACACCAACGCGTTCCTTGCTTAGAATGTCAAGCATGAACTGGGACGGCCTGTTATCCTTGTAAACAGCCTGGCACGCCTTGAAGGCCATCACATCTTCAATGTACTTGTCGAAGAGGTAGGAGCTATCCATAGGACCACCCCTAGCTTCGGGGTGGAACTGGGTTGAGAAGATTGGTCGGGAGATGTGGCGCATGCCTATAGCATTGTATTAGTAACTTGCAAGCAACATAAAAACATATAAAAATATCCTACCTTCATTACTACCGTCATTAAGATTAACGAAATACTCCTTCCATTCGCTACCCAACGTGCTGGCATCGACAGCATAGCCGTGGTTCTGGCTAGTGATGTGGCACTGCCCGGTTGTCATATCTAGAGCCGGGATGTTGTGTGCCCGGTTACCATACTTCAGCTTGATGGTTCGAGCTCCAGTGGCTAGAGCCAGTAGCTGGTGGCCTAAACAGATACCCATAATGGGCACTTGGGAAGTTTCCATCAGCACGTTGAGGTTATGTACGGTAGCTTGGCAATGGGTCGGATCGCCAGGGCCGTTGGAAATGAATACACCATCAAAATTGTCGGCGACCTTCTGAATCTTGAAATCGTAGGGGAACACCGTTACGCTAGCCCCACGGCTCACCAAGCTCCGGAGGATATTCTCCTTGACACCACAGTCAAGTAACGCGATATGATACTTGGGGTTGTGGGCCTCCACAACAAAGGGGGCCTTAGTACTGACCCGCTTCACAAGGTTAATCTGGCCAGGATCAACGAAGCTTTCGTCTTCGTCTGCGTCGTATTCATCGCCAACAGAGATCCTAGCGAGGGAAGAACCCTGCTCTCGTAGGTGAGTGACGATGGCACGAGTATCGACACCCGAGATGGCCGGAATACCCTCTCGGGCACACCAGTCACCCAAACTCTCCACCGCGGTCCAGTGGCTGTATTTCTCGGCGAAATCGGCAACAACAATTCCTGCGCACTGAATATGAGGAGACTCGAAGTGCCTTAGAAGGTTCCACTGGTCACGCTCGTTAGAGGGAACACCGTAGTTTCCAATCAATGGCTGAGTGAAGACGAGAATCTGGCCTCGGTACGAGGGATCGGTCATCGACTCCGGGTAACCGACAAGAGAAGTCGTAAAGACGGCCTCGCCAGAGATGTTAGAGTTAGCTCCGAAAGCCGTTCCGTGGAAAATAGGCCCATCCTTTTTCTCCGTCAGCATATAGTGATCGTCAAGGTCTACCGTAGTTGCAACGTACTCGGAGAGTGAGTGTAGCCTCCATGCCAGAAGCAGGTTTCGTAGCCCGGGATAAGGTCTGAGGCATCTGCCTGCCCGTGCTACCCTGGATAGCCTGGGCCGCAAAGTTGCCGGTGGTGGAGAGGAATCGGGCCCGTGCCGAGAGGCTAGCAGCACTGAATGCTGCAGGCTTCGCAGCCTTCAGGGCTAATCGTGAGAACATGATGTTCTGAAGTGGTAAATTAAAGGTTCGAGCTAAAGAGGTTATTCAATGGCCTCCTTTAAGCGGAGAGAGCCCGCCACAAGTGGTCTAGATATATGTTAGTCTCGAAAGCGGTGAGTCAGATTCGTGAAGTGAAACAAACCAGAGATATAATCCTGTGGCGATATAGTTAGCAATTGCAATGGCTAAAGTGATAACAGACAGATAAAATAGTATAAAATGATAAGGTATAAATCGAATAGCGTGGTGAGAGTGGATATATTTTCATGAGTCGAATTGGAGGGACAGTTAGAATGAGGTCATCTTTCGTTGAACGTACCTGGGATGTGAAGACTGACGAGCGCCCGTTCATAAGGGCAACGTGGATAGTTCCAACCAGAAGAGGCAGGAGAATTAGAGGATGACTCAATTGGAAGGGGGAGAGTTTAGAGGTTCTAAAGAATACCGATAGTAATAAGGCGGATTGGGGGAATACCGTTAGTTTTTAAAGGGGACTGGGGAAAGAAGAAAAAAAAAGGTGTTTTCATAGCGGGGGACTAAGAATTCAAGGTTGTGCGATCTGACTGGTTTCCGATATTCCCAAGCTAACCATGCAGTACCGCCCCATATTTAATATTGAATAGTCCAATTAAATATGTTGTAATTCTGTGTTACACACTGTAATACCGTTACCTTATCTCTAGGGTACATTGGCTTGTCAAGGCCCGCCAGACGGAAGAGTGAAAAAAAAAAATTTACTATAGGCCGTTTTCGGCCTATCAACGACCTCAACGCTCTGACGTAGACCGGATACTGTCTACAGCAAAGAAAGGCCAAAATAGCGTTTACTAACTTCAGATAGTGTACCTAATGTATGCGGTTAAATTACACAATCGAATCACAATAGTTAAATTATTTTACTTTTACTAGTTATAAGATACTTGTAATTTCTACCGCACATGTAAACCTTTGTGACGATGTTGACTTTGCCGTGATATACTTTCCCACCACAATCGCTAGCAGTATGCAAATGCTGCAACAGCATTAGAATATCGATATTTAAGTAGTACAGATTAGTCAAGTCCGATGCATCCCTTAACTCCCTTATGTCACGCACATAAATAAATTAACCATGTCCCCAATTCGTACATAAAGCCAATCCCTTGCGATTGGCTCTTGTCGCTGTGAAAACTCCAACCCTCTCGTCATATGAGCGCGGAAGGACATTACTTGCTCTACTAGTACACCGATCAATGAGTTAGTTCAACACTTATAAACATTATTTGTGGAACTGCAATATTATTTTCTCCCTACTATACCGAAAATCGGATACCTAGAAACAACTTTATGAGAAGCCATAGTTACATGTAGTATCGAGGGAAAAGGAGGTTTACACGCTTGGGCATTTGTGAATTTGAGCGATATGATTCTGAGCAATTCCTACTTGTCTTGATTCAATATATCTTCATTTGCCAATCTCGCGATTTTATAGATTCCACATCTACCCAGGTAGATAACCAAGACGCTCTCAGCAATATGATAACCATCCAGACGTGAAAACTATTGAAGTGTAGGTTTCCCCGAAGCCCCTTTATCGGACACGAAAACCGTATAGTTGGCTTCATTCATCGTAGAAATAGAATATCCCATATCTACATACCTACGTTTAAGCTTCACCATAGCCCATAGTTATATATGAAAGTTAACTTAGATATTTTTAAAGCAATGCTCTCTATTCATTCGTTATATCGCTCCCAGCTCCTTCAACTTCGAAATCAACCCATCCACATCCTCAACCTTGCCACCACCTTCTCTCGGCGGCGGTTCTATAGTAAAAAAGTTAGTATAGACTACAAGAGGAAAGGTCTTAGTAAGACAACATAATATATAAAAATCGTACCTGTAACTTTAACAATCTTAAGCCGTCTCTCATTCGAAATGCCTAAATCACTCAAGCTCATCTTGACAAGCGGCTTCTTCTTCGCCTTCATAATATTCGGCAAGCTCGCATAGCGGGGCTCATTAAGGCGCAAATCCGTCGTGATAACCATCGGTAACTTCGCGCGCACCGTTTCCGCGCCGCCGTCAACCTCTTTCGTGACCTCGACCGTATCGCCAGCGCCAAACGTGACTTTGCTAGCCTGTGTAGCCTGGGGCCACCCTAGCAACCCCGCTAGCATCTGTCCTGTCTGCGCCGCATCGTCGTCGATGCTCTGCTTGCCGAGGATGACCAAGTTGCTCTTTTCCTTCTCGACAGTGGCCTTGAGCAACTTAGCTACGCTGAGCGGCTCTAGGTCTTCGCCCTCCTTGACGTCTACGTGGATGCCACGGTCCGCGCCCATCGCCATCGCCGTGCGCAGTACGTCCGCGGCCTTCGCAGGACCTGCCGAGATCACGCAGATGTCTTCAACGCCTCCCGGCGCTGACTTTTTCTCACGGATCCGCACCGACTCCTCGACCGAAAGCTCGTCGAACGGGTTCATCGAGTGCTTGACGCCGGCCGTTTCGACGCCCGTCTGCGCCTTATTGACGCGGGGTTTGACCTGCGGATAGGAAATACGACCATTAGCTTACTCCCTCGTTCTATTGTTGCCCTTACGTGCAGAAAGTGTAGGAGTTAATTAATTCTTACCGCATAGTCAATTACCCTCTTTATGGGCACGAGAATACGTAATGCTGACATGGCGAGTTCGCAACTATGCTGGCTGTCTATTAAAAAGCGAAAGGAGAAGTGAAAGTATAAGTGAGCTTATGTCTCTTGTCCCTTGTCGGATTCAATGCTTCGGCTAACTTTAATTGAAGCTCCGTTCAATGACGCAGGAAAATCCGCGACCGAGACCGGCGATAGCCGCGCTTCTACTGTAAAAAACCTCGGCCAAATAGGCCCCACATGATGGTCTGTCTACTTGTAAATAACCTCCTTATTTAAAATATCTTCTTGTGCGTATAATTCAACGGTAATTTGGATATATATGGCATTTCAGTACAGTATATCGTAACGGTAATAATGAATAATTATTTAACACGATTAGTTGTACTTTGGTAATTGGGTGTCTACCCATTACTCATATGTATACCGTCGCATAAAAAAAGAATATTTGCACCCTTTACATTGATTCTAATAAATACATGTATATACGCTACCCAGAACTCCATTTAGCTTACCAGGTAATTATACAGCATGGCATCGTGTCCGTCGTCTATAGGTATAATCGCACACCCCGATACCTGTGCAGTCTCTTCATTTAAACCTGGGTAATATAAACTGACAATCCCCTTCCGGCTACTACCAGTCGTCCCACTCGTCGTCCTTCTTGGCCGCTGCTGGCGCGTTCTTATTTCCTCCTCTTCCCATGGCTGAAGTTCCAACCGAGCTATACTTAGGCCCGGTACCATGCCGTTGATCCGCGGCGGCAGCGAAGTCGTCCCAGAATGCCTTCTTACTCTCGTCTATCGGGGCTTGCCTTCGCTCGTCGGATCCCTCAACGAAGCGGTTAAACCGTTCCTGTGCTGTCATTGCGCCGGCCTGTGCCGCCTTACCTACGCTCCCTGCTGCAACTCTCGCCTGTGCTGCAAAGTCCGATTCCGAAAGCTGTTTGTAAGAGTTAGTAACTGTGTTCGTTTCGTTGTGTGGCTAAGCATGCAAACTCTTGTGCTTACCTGCTTAGCCGTAGGCTGAATGAATTCATCGTTGATTCCTTTAGCCGTCTTGCTTACAGTCGTTGTAAACCAGCCGAACCCTTTTGTTAAGGCAGCTACTGGGTCCTTCTGCACCTCCGTTAGATCTGGAAGCCCTCCGTTACCACTCTTTGTAGGTGCAGGCGTATTTCCAAATCCGGCGTATTTGCCCCCCTGGCTAGGCGGTAATTCCGCCGACCTAGACGCGTTCTCTTTTCCTAGACGCGCGAAATATTCATCATCGACTTTAGCTTTGACACCTGGTCGATTAGGGCTTGCTGTTCGACTTCCACTCGTTGCCACGCCTTGTAATGGCGTTCCGGTCCTACTGATTTGTTTTGGACCAGGCGGCTTTGTGGCGGCGGCGGCGGTGGTAGGCTGCGGTGTGGTTTTTCGTTCACCGGGCACGTATTCCCTACCCTCAACCTTGGCGCTAAGCCTTTCTTTCCATTCTTCACCTACTTCTCCGCTATATCGCTCCGCAATGGTAGCATCGTCCCAGTTTAAACCACGCATCTTAGTATCATCGTGCTGCTCGAAAAACGATCTCCATCCCTGATTACCGCCGAGCCGCATGCGCTCGATCTCGGCCTGCTTGAACGCGTCCATAGTAACGGAACGAACGAACGAGATATGAACGCCAAGGCCCCGGTGAACGCCAGCGCAAGAGAGGCAGATGAAAACGCCGAATTTAGGAGACGCCCATTGCGGGTTCGGGGCGTTGCAATCGCAGCAGATGTTGTTGTTATTCGTCTTTTGTATAGCCAGGAGCTAAAGATAAGCTGACGGTTAGCAAGTGTTTAATATCATGATAGACAGGTAACTATGCTAATTGCCATGCCATTAATTCTTTTCAAATCTCAACTAGATAACAATACATACCTTTGATCTGGTCTCCGGATCGACTTCCCACATAGCTTTAGAGGCCATGGTAGATTACTGATTGTTGCGCCGAAGCGACAGCAGGGAGTAATATAAGTCTCTATTCAGTAATTGTCTACTTGATAGTAAGAGAGAGCCGTGTACGAAGCGACAACAGCATTAAATCAAAATTTGAAGGTATTTGCGTATGTGAGGACAGTTTTATTAACGAGCATTTATGAAGTACAAGTATAAGTACGAGTAGTACGTGGTGTTAATTTAACTCGTGCGCAATCGCCGACTTCGATAAAATAGGGATATTTGATGAAATAGGAATATCGGGGGCCAAGACAGGTACCCCGATTCTCCACATCTTGTTTTAGCGTTCTCATCCCCTACCAGGTACATACAATAGCAGTAGAGTAAGTAGGCCTAGAAAAGAGGAAAACAAAAAGTCTAGATTTCCCTTCTACTAGTTATCACTAATGTACCTACCATAATAACATGACCTACCTACATGCAGTAAATAATAACATAGCAACCTACTAACTATAGTAGCGTTAATCCAACCACATTCCAAACGGTTCCATCCGCGTAATATTATACAATACTAAGGATTTAGAATATTTAAACGGATTCGCCATTTACTATGGGCCAGCTACCTACCTTATCCATGCTGGAAAACTGTTGGCTGCCGATCCGATCCGATTCCTAAATTCGCAACCACTACCATTCTTCGATTTTAACCTTCATTTCCGCCACTACGGAACGTTATGGAGGGTCCGATTCAAGTTATAATAAAACGGAAACAATAAAATTCCATTCCAAATCACGCATCTCACTAATGATAGATCATAATGCATCAATCCGTTATCAATCATATCTATTCTTTGCTCGCGAGAACTTTTCCGAGTCCACCGTGACCCCCCTGCTCCGTTGTCCACCTAGTGTACAACCCGTGAAAATGCTCGAGAGGTGGTTGTCAAAGTCATTCGTGAAAATTAAGATGTATCAAAACTGCAGCATCATGACACAGACCTTCGCCAGAAATGCGAATACAGAATGCGGCAGTCGCTGCTGACGATATCTGAGGCCATATTACTGCTGTTCTGTGGGGTTTCGTTATCTATGGTGAAATCAAGAAACTTGCCATCCCTCGTAAAACCTGACTGACGCGCAACTACTGTATAATGTATCCGTAACTAAGACATGACTGTCTGGATTCATCTTCCGTTAAGAATTAAACATGCGCCGTCGGAAACATGCTTAGATAATCTAAGCAGTAGCAGCAGGGGCCGCCTCTTGGCCATTGGCCTCGTTCTCCTGAGGAATATTCGCCTCCTCGTCCGTCTTGTCGGGGCTGTCAATAGCGACCTTGACGGCAATCTCGCGACCTTCGATCTCCTTGCCGTTCATCTCGGCAACAGCCTTCTGCTGAAGCTCTTCAGAAGCCAGGGTGACGAAGCCGAAACCACGACCCTTGCGGGGCTCGCCGCGAGCCTGGAGCTTCTTGATCATGAATCGCGGGATAGGACGAAGGGCAATCTTGGCGGAGGAGGGCTGGTAATCATTGAAGAGTTCCTTAAGCTGTTGGAAAGTTAGCAGGCGCCGAGTTAACCATCAGCAAAATAACAACTTGCCTTCTCCTCGGTTAGGTCATAGGGTAGGTTAGCGACCATAACCTTGTTCTTGGAGGGGATGCCGTCAGCAGGCGGTCCGCGCTCACGACGCTCACGAGCAGGGCCCTTCTTCGCAGACTTGTCTTTGTCAGCATCCGCCTTGTTGGTGATGTCGGTCAAAGGCAAAACCTCAGAATCGGCAGCGGTGGTAGCATTCGCGCCAGCCTCAGTAGGGGCATCGTCCTTTCCACCCTCCTAAATATTGTTAATAACCGTTGAAACATGTGCAGATTAAGGCAAAGACTTACAGTTCGGCCGCCACGACCAGCGCGACCAGCACGGCCACGGCCACGACCGCGGCCACGACCAGAGGATCGGCGCCGAGAGCCTTCGGCACCAGCCTCGCCGTTGGTAGCTCCCTCGGCCTTCTCGCCAGCCGGCTGGGGAGTGCGTGCAAGTTGAACGGAGACCTTTCGCTCGAGAATCTCCTTACCGGAGAGTTCAGCAATGGCACGATCGGCCTCGGAGGGGGTAGAGAGATCCACGAAGGCATAGCCAACGGGGCGGTCGGTACGAGGATTCTTCGGAATCGAGACGGATTCACTAAGTGATAAAAATTAGACCAAATTTCAACTAGCTTACTTGATAATAGCCAGAGATTATTTAAAATCGGCCTTGTGATAAGCCTTTCATTTGTGATAATACAACCGTAAACATCCGCTTATTTTCAAGTCCCTACAAATAAAAGGGACTGGGTAGTAGAAGCTGAACATATGTGTAGGCCATTATATAGCACAAGGGAATCCAAGGTAAGGATGGGCCAACAAGTAAATATTTCACCATAAACCATGGATACAATTCCATAGTTAGTAGGAATGAAATCAGTATGTAGACTTACACAAGGTAACCCTTGAAGAATTCTTTCAACTCCCCCTCAGTTGTCGCATATGCGAGGTTGCCAATATACAATCGGCGACCCTCGGCGGCACTAGCATGGACGGCATCCTTGTTCTCGTCCTTGCCAGCGAGAGAGGTATTGCTCAGAGCATTGGTAACGTCGTTGACGGCAGCGTCAGCAACTTTCTCCACAGTGGTAGCCATTGTGAATGATGGTTTCTGGTTGGGAGATTAGTTGAAGGTAGGTTGATTATCTTGACAGGAGGCGATTATAGACGTTGAATGGACGTTCGGGTTCGGGTTCAGTATTGAACTCTTGAACAATTTCGGGGGAGGAATAGGGTGGCTACGTGCCCTAGAGAAGATTGAAAGAGTTGGGAATCGGTGAGTTGTGACACAACGAGCTGGAGATTGATGGAATTGAGAGGTGTGAAGAAGAAATGGGAGAGACCAGATGTTCGGACGCGGCCAGAATTTTTTAAGGGTTGTTGTTTCTTGTGTGGGTCACGCCAAAGTTAAACTCACGGCAGGCGTGGGGTAAGTGAATATGGCTGCGCTTGACAGGAATCTATGGGCCAATTATAGAAAGGGGGACGCATGCGCTTGTACGGACTTAGAGTAAGTACCTAGGTACGTACTTGCCTACATGTCCTGTTGTGGTCTACTTATATTTATACTGACGGAAACCTCACTGTGTATTTTAACTTGGGGTGCCTGAACCATCAGTGACTGCCTACCTACGGTACCTACCTACCTACCTAGGTACATATGTCTGCCAGGTCTATCAGGTACTATTATAATTGGAAGAGAGCCGCACTGGCCTGAAGCAAATGGCATCTAACATAGGTACCTAATATATATGTAAAGCAAGTGACTCAGTCAACAATCTCGTAATGGCATAGTGAGAAGCTAGAAGAGTAATAGAAGGACAAGAGGATAATGAATGCCTAAGGAATAGCAGAGGCAAGTGACACATGGCGAGAGAAATATGTAAGGGAAGGTAAGGAAAACTACTGAGCTTGTAGGTGCGTACCTTAGGTAAGTTTGAAAAAAAAATTTAGGTACTATGTGAATGGGCTTGCCTGTTTTAGCGAGTCCTATGTATATGGTAGTCACTATTGCCTTAAATTCTTCCATGTAAACCTCTGAGGATTATGATAGAAGAGAAAATAGGTATTGATTTCTTAAAATGTCTACTACGTAATAATAGGTTAGGTACAGAAGTCGCCTTCAAAAGTTTTGTCCATACCAAACACCTGTCAGCCTTAACCACAGCTATTAAATAACTACTAAATAACTTAATCTATTTAGCACTCAAAAATTATAAAATATATTAAAATTTACTATTTTTTATATAAATAATTACATAATTAAATATATTTTATAAAATATAGCTTTTAAATATATTATAAATATAAAAGTTTAAATTTATTTCGGTATAAATTTTAATATTATATTTTATATATTTAAAGTTAAATAAATAAATAAAAATAAGGTATAAAAAGGAGTATATTTAGTATTATAACCAATAGTTATTGCTAAGATTTGCCAAGCTAATAAAGGCCGATTTATGAACAAAACTTTTAAAGGCGACTTCCGTAGAGGTAGGTATATTTATCGTATTGTATACATTCAATCGTACTAACACCGAAATCTCCCCAAGTCGGTGACACCGGAGGGTGTCTGTCGATGGTACCTCCTTCACGCGCTTGAAGAGGATTTTAAGGTACGACTGTCATTAAGCTCAAGTATTCCGAGAAGTTGGGATGGAAGGACATGGATGGTTCGTTAGGTTGCATTAATAAGTACCTAGGTAAGGTACCTACCTAGGTAGCGTATGTAATTCCTTCGCACATTCCGAATTACTACTATATTACGCTTCGGTGCAGAAAGAATGCAGGTGCCGGGTGTATATGTCTAAGGTACTAGACTCAGGTAACTAATATCAGTTCGGAAACATGCTTAAATTGTCGAAATTGGATTTATTGAAAACTCGGGGGGCGCATTGAAAACAGTAAATTACGCCATTTCAATGCCTCCTTGGTGTATCTTCAGCTTTGTTCTCCTAAAATCGGGTAACTCGCAACCAGAGACAATATGACATGTTATTAAAAGGAACCACGTTCTCATTGTCGGAATATTTCTTTCCACATGCGAACTTGGGCACGATTAAGTCAAATCACGAGTCAAATCACAAGTCGGCCAATCTTCTGGAAGCTCTGAAAGAACCTGGTTTCTGGGGTTTTGACGATCGAGCCACTCAATGCGGACAATGCGAACCCGACAGGGGTTATTTTAGATGCACCCCTCTTCTTATCGCTTGATAGACACCTTTCTTCACCTACAAATCGAAAAGGAAAAAAAACAACCCCCCTTTTACCCCTTTACGGTCGCTTCAAGAAAACGAGTCTTAATACCTGTATTATCACAGACCGGGTTAAAATTCTCAACCCGATTAAAAAAGCTCCATGGTTTTATCCGTACATTTTCCAGAAAATAAGACTCCCAAATTTAAGCTTAATATTCTCTCTCTTTTCCATAGCAAATAAGTCGGTAAAGGTTTATGTCGGTGTATAACTCTTCCAGTCAACTGACGATTTTAGGTGAGGCGCACTACGCAATTGGCAAACAAATTTAATCCACATGGCTTTTTCCGGTATCTTCGGCTGGGTAAGGTAGCTTACTAGCTGTTGCGTGCATGAAAGTACGGCCAAATCGGTAGCCCTAACCAAAATGCCGGCTCCCAGAATGCAAGAGTGCAAGAATGCAGACAATCAAAAGGTCATATCAACGTTACTTTGCAGCTATTTTCTGTCATGTTCCTGAAGCGCGATCGAGTCAAAATTGTATTTTGGCCTTTTATTCGGCGATTTACTTATTAATATAAATCTATATGTGATGTATCAATATCGGGTTTCTTTGACACATGCATTCCTACCGCATTAGCCACACGTGACGAATGGAATGTTTAGAGGGATTGCGTAACAGCCATTTATAACTTGGCGTAAATACATCCGCTAATCCCTTTTAGCGCCTTATCCCAAGGTCGAAAGCCCTACAGATGTCCCATCATAAATGGGGCATCGTCAACCATACTAATATCTATTATGTAAACTACGGGGTAGCTGTGCCCTACGAGATGATTTAGAGTACCTAGGACTCCCTGGTATTTTCTTCTGTCCCTAAAGAAAGGTTTCCCATCCAATTAAAAGCATGCACGTCACGCAAGAAGAGGACTCAACTTCTACGTTTTCATCAGACTAGATTCAAGTGACCATAAAGTCTCTATCACTTAAGCCTTTTGCGCGCGCTTACAGACTTGTTGAATAATAATCTTTTAAGTGTAGTTATTATTAGTTGACTATGGGTTTTAATGTTATAACTAGAGTTTACTAAACTTTAAGTCTTAAATATTCATAGGCACAACTTTACAAAGCGTTTTAGAAGTAAAGCGCAGTTATTAATCAATTATTTTAATTGTCTCTGAACTTTTAAAGCGCCGGTCTTGAGAGAAAGCCCATCTAGTCTACACTATTGTCTTATAATTGAATAGACCTAAACATACAAATAGTTGATAGTAATTGCACACAAAGAAAAGAGTTCCAATAAAATCATAGTTCAGTTCCGGAGGAAATTTTTATTCGTCCATATAGTATACATACCTGGCAAGTACCTTATAGAATAATTATAGAGAATTAAATCAAAAATGAGGAGGACAATGAAGGGGGGAACGTCGTCGGATTCTTTAAAACAGATATCACTAGCAAAATAATTATATCCACCTGAGCCAGAATATACCAACACCAAAAAGTAGAGTAATTAAAACAGAGTAAATTGACGTGTTTAGATCTTATTACAGATTCCATTAAGTTTATTATGTCCAAATATAGAATTCCGCTCTTAAATGAAAGCCAACTAACCCATTTATATGGTAGGCAAAGCTCGATCATGGTCCTCTTGGTCAAGTTACTCTTTTCATATGTCTATATTAGACCTGCTAATCCGTATGATTTCAAAAGGAATATGATAGTGGATAGGTAGATAATATTAGCAGCCTGGTGGCTGTCACGGGAGCTTAAAAGACGCCATGCAGGGCGGCCCGAAAAATTATTCTAATTTTCATGCTGTGTTCCAGGGGCATCATGTCGTACAATAGGACCCTTAGTGTCCTTCTACTTTGTGTTACTGAGCATGGGTAAACAATACATATGCACTCTGAGAAAAGTATGTCTTAGGTAGCAGCTCTCGAGATGGCCTCGAGATAGACAAGGCTAAAAAAACCCGCAACTTCATACATATTTCAAGTTTCAATCAGAGGAATCATATGACTATATCTTTATCTAATCTTTCAACCACTACCTAACTAGGAGTCACCTACCCAATTTAGAAGCGATATCGTCTTTCTCAAGCTATAAGAAACCCAATTCCAACCCAAATTCACGCACACCGCTCGTAGCAAAGTACTATTCAGGAAGTTCACCGTTAGGATCCGTGGAGTAAGGAAAACTGGACCATGCCAAAACTTGCTGGCAAAAAGGACGAAGTCATTCAAGCTGTTCTAGGCGGTGTAAGTAGCAAGGTTGCGGCTCAATCGATAAAGTTGGCCATAGGTAGATTTCATGCCATCTAAGCCGACGACGTGGTGGTGCGCTTAATTGAACGGCGACATATGCAGCCAACTCCACAAGGCCACCTCAGTAGCTTAGATAGTATTGAACAACGGCGAATGCATAGTTCCTAGGTAGTCATCATCAAGTCCGATATTGTGGAGTCAAAACGTGTTCACCGCAGTTTGAGCTGGCCTTTTTACACATCAAACCTGTATGGATAGACCGAAAAGGGGTTGTTTCTCCTTCAAGGATTACACTAATATTTATGGGACCAAGATAAAGACGTACATGTAGACAAACATTCCTCTTGATCCATATACACCCATAAGGTAGAATATATGATCATCAAGCCCTTCAAAAATATAAGTATCTACTATCTACCACCTACATCAACAACGTAGCTGGAAGGAAATACGTAAGTACCTACCTACCTACAGGTATAGGTAGTGGACATGAGGTACGTGCCTTGGTGAAGCGTAAGGTGGTACACAACCTGTATTAGGTAAACCCAAAATGTCAACCTACCTAGGTACGTAGCAGATAGGTACAGGAGCAAGTGCGGGGTCCTGATTGGGAGGGGCAAAGAACTCAATAGAGTAAGATCCTTATCTTATCGATCTCATCTTTCCAAACTTGTAATGCAAACCCTTGCAATTCTTCCTTTCTTTGGATCTCTCAAGGCTAAAGTTGTACTTACTCAACATGGCTTCGGAACTCAATGATGGCTATACGGTCAGTGGGGATGGAGTCGCGAAGCTTGAGAATAGACGTATACTCATTCTTTATGGTTCTGAGACGGGGAATAGTCAAGACCTAGCCGGTGACATTGAACGGCTTGCAGAAAGGCTACACTTTAATACACAGGTCCGTGAAATGAACGATGTTGAACTTGTAAGTTGAAATTCATTTTATATTATTCATCATTGAAAAGTCTAGTGACTTATCGTTTGTAATTTACACTTGTGAGTATTCTATGTCTCTATTTGAAAATATTATTGCCTTTTATACCTTATTCCTTTGTATTTTTTTACTGGGCGCACGGGACAATAAGTCCTCCTCTAGCTCCAAGGTCTCTAAGGCTGAGCAACACCTATCAATTTGAATAATTTACTACTGTTGTCTATTCCGTACTTATAATTGTATGTATGGCCACGCTCTCGTGCCATTTATCGTGCATTGCGTACCCTATGTATACAAGTGTTAACAGCAAAAAACCCCCGACAACACACACATAGTAACCAAATCTATCTCATTTAGAATACATTATTACAATACCCTCTAATCATATTCGTCATTTCTACCACCGGCCAAGGCGAAGTACCTAAGAACGCTCGCACATTTTGGAAGAGTCTCCTACGCAAACGACTTCCTCCAAATTGTTTGCAGTTAGTTAACTTCACCACTTTTGGTCTTGGCGATAGTTCATACTCCAAGTACGCAACGTCCTTAATCCTTCCTAAACCCTCCTTCTCAATTACATCATCACAGACTAATTTTCTTAAATCTATTTTATTCAGGTACAACTGGGCAGTTAGGAAACTTCACAAACGCCTTGAACAACTTGGTGCGACAGAATTCTTCCCACGTGGCGAGGCTGACGAACGTCACCAAGACGGGTAAGCAGCTTTTGCTCTCTTTTTCTCTCTATTTTATTCTTCAACTTTTTTTTTGCCCCTTTGTCTCAGATACAATATTAAACTAATCTTTTCTCATAGCATCGACGGTACTTTCTTATCTTGGTCCCTGAGCCTTCGTAGTCATATTCTGAAGGAATATCCGTTACCTGACGGTCTATCACCTATACCCCTGGATGTGCAACTTCCTCCTAAGTTCACATTAGAGCCAGTACCCATGATGGATCTCTCGGATGAGCTGATGCCTGATCGTGATGGGAAGCAAGATGGGAATTCAAACGGTGCAGATTTAACATCTCCTATTGTCAAATCATCAAATGGAGATCACCATTTTATGCATCGTAAACAGACTCTCGACGAAAAAGCAGCACTTTTTAGTCATACCGATACACCTGACCCGGAGCGATTAGAGCAGGCTCTGCGGGTAGAGAGGATGTCTATCAATAGCAATAGCTATCCGGCACGCCTATCAGAGCAGACAGCCAAGCAAATCCAGGGCGGGATAGATATTCTAGACCGACCGAATGTTCTAAGAGACCACCCATCTAAATACCTCCTAGAGGACCCGAGCAGTTGTAAGGACGCTCTCCCCCCCTCAGATCTTCTTCCGATACCGAGAGGCTGGCTGGCCCATTTGCGTGAGAACCGTCGTGTTACTCCTACTGGTCACTGGCAGGATGTCCGTCATATAGTTCTCGAAGTACCTACACAACCAAGTTCTAACAGAAGAGGGGATAGAGAGCTCTTCAGCTACGTTCCGGGTGATGCAGTCCTCATTTACCCCAAGAATTTCCCTGCGGATGTACAGACATTGATTGATCTCATGGGCTGGAATGACGTCGCTGATATACCCTTTGAGCATCGTGCAAGGCAGCAAGACGCACTTTATTCGAAGCCTAAGAATTGTCACCCTATTCCTCACACCACTTTACGCGAGCTTCTTATTCATAACTACGATATAACTGCTATTCCGAAGCGCGTATTCTTCCAAGATATTGCTTTCTACACAGATGACCCTATGCACCAAGAGCGCCTGCGGGAATTTGCCAATCCTGGCCTCTCGGACGAATTCTACGACTATACTTCTCGACCTCGACGATCTATTCTAGAGGTTCTCCAAGACTTCCCATCAGTCAAGATCCCCTACCAACATCTTCCGTCCATTTTCCCTGTCATGCGAGCCCGAGAGTACAGTGTCGCGAGCGGCGGCCAACTTCTGAGGAACGAAGAAAACCTAGAGGTCACCCGAGTCGAACTTCTAGTAGCATTAGTGAAATACAAGACGGTCCTTCGAAAGACTCGACAAGGACTCTGCTCCCGATATTTAGAATTCTTGCGTCCTGGCACGAATATCATGATCACCCACAGAGAATATGATACTCTAGAGGCTGGTTGGACTCGCAGACCATTATTAGCGATCGCCCCAGGCACTGGCGTCGCGCCAGTACGCGCCCATCTTTGGGATCGTATCGACGAGTCAGAAGCCGGCGATTCCCTCCTCTTTTTTGGTGGTCGAAACCGTGATGCTGACTTCTACTTCCAAGACGAATGGCAAGATCTTAGGGTGAAAGTCATCACGGCGTTTTCCAGAGATCAAGAGAAGAAGATTTACGTACAGGACCGTATCCGTGAGCAGTGGCAACTGGTATGCGAATTTATCCAGAAGGGTTGCGTAATCTGCATTTGTGGGAGCTCGGGGAAAATGCCAGAGGCAGTTAAACTAGCCATACATGACGCCATGGTAATGGGAAAGATGGCTCCTGATCGTGAGGCCGCAAAAATTGTACTGGCCCGGAACAACCCGTTATGGGAGGAGGTTTGGTAACGGACAGAGTGTTTTCATGAGTGGCAACACTACTCTCACAAAAGCGTAATATTCTCCAGTCATCATAGTAGATGTAACAATACCCGCGCTAAGCAGTAGCTTCGATGTAAATACTAGGACATATTCCTATTATTAGCTATCAAGTAGGCATGCTAGACTTAATGAATAGCTCTAGCGTTTCTATCTATATGTTCATCTATCTTATAGTATAACATGATTTACTCTAAACCATACCTCTCACTTATTTACCCCTATAATACTTGGCTACCTCCGAAAGCTTATCATAATAATTCATCCCATAAAGCTTTTTCAAGTCTATTGCTGTCGAAATAACACGAGGCAAGGGAAAGTGGACTCTTATAATATACTCTATCCTCCCTCGCCCATCCAACCTGTGTGCTTACCTATTCATATCGTTCTTGAATGATATTATTCATTATTCATCCTGGATCTTTTTTAGTTACATCCAATTTCGTACAGGAAAGAGTTAGATATCGTTAATACTAGGCGTCGAGGTTAAAGCTTGAAGAGGCTAAATATATATTAAGACTACGCGCAAGTATTTCGCTAGCTAAAAAGGGAGGGGGGGCGTGATGAAACCGATACTTCCATACGTTAATACGAAATACGCCATGACGGGAAACTAGTATTGCTGTAGCCCATCTACTCCGTAGTTCCGGACACTGACGACAGCATATCGGGTCGGCATCGTGCCCTTTCGGAGCAAGGGAGGGAGAGTAATATCTCTCATAGTCCTGGGCTTGTAAGATATCGCTTCTTAATAGATGATATACCTGATTTTATTATTTTTATTTCTTATCTAACAAGCCATGCCTTGATTATAAAATACTTTCGTTTAATTGTAGACTTCCCTTGCTCCGAATCCTAGTGATCTGCGAGTACTATCAACCTAAATCATTCTCTATAAGCGCGACCGCGATACCGCCGATACCTCGAGAGCCTCCGGCTGTTGCGTCGCTGACGTATGTTAAAGACCCGGGGGGCGAATCCCCGCAAGTTGCTGGTTCATCGGCTTTTCTATAGAATCTATTGTTTCCCTCTAAATGACATTGTATTATAATGGTATTGGAGACCTAACCTTGATAATAAGGGTTTACTGTTAGAACACTCCTTATACAAGTCACCTAGATATACGCAATTCTATAGTTAGCGCAAGACGATGATGTGAGTAGTATGCTTTAAGTTCTGTTCCTAGATAATATACTACCTCTTTGCCTAGAGATTTAACTAGTACATGTGGAAATAGACATGATAGTTTAACTTGTATACTATATTTGACTCCCACTCGAAGAGTAACTGCTACCGTCATAGCTGATCCTCCCACAGTCTTACATATCAACAGGAGTAACAAAGCCATAATACTATAACTAACTAAACAGCCTTTTGCATGAAAACGCCTATAGATAGGATCCCCTCCTTTACCTATCACACGCACTTTAGTCCAAGGCTCCCATATCCGCAGAACAGTTCAAGACGAATACTAAACTAACACCCGTTTCAGCAAGTGCCCGTCAACAATGCATCTAGGCTTGGCCGATTCCTACTGCAACAGAAGGACGCTATCGCCACGTGCCTAGAGCTTCTACGGGCTAACTCCGAATCGAGATTACACCGTGGTCTCGGTCAGGAAACCTGGTATATACTATATGTACCTGCAAGATTGACGTTACAACGGCTGAAGTTTCTACATAGGGGGAAGGGGATTTTAAGTGTGGGTTTAGTCGGCATGCCAAGGGGAATTGAACGGAAAAGAAATTGACGAGAAACACGGTGGGGGGTTTGATATAAGTGAGTCAGTCAGTCAGTCTTAAGCAGGTTGATTGATATATAGGTACCTACTCTATATAACACTTTTTGTAATTGAACCTTTGTGCCTTCACCGATATATATATATATATCGTCTGGTATATCACGACAACTAAACTACGAAAGAATCCGAAGCGTAAGAAGATCACCTCATTAAACCGAATACTATGTACGAACAAAGCTATGCATCTCGAACTCGTTCGGGGAGAGCGAAGGATCTGGGTTACATCCAACGAGTGCGACTCTGCGCCGGCGAGGACCCGCGCGGCGGGCCTGTGCCGTTTTCCAACGTTGCACCGTGGGATTCCGGTAGCGTTTCAAGAAATGAAAAAAAAAATATGTACCGAGGCAAAATGCAAAATGCAGAATGCAGAATACTAGGTGATAGATCATAATTCCCAGAAAAGTAATACCTAGAATCAACGCTATAGAAATTTCTCCCTGGTTCGATAAAGCTGTACATACATACATAGGTACACTACATATTTCCTTGATTCTTTTCAACCTTGCCACCCCCTGACGATGCAATGCGGCTCCCCACGCGCCATGCATATATGTAAGTAATGTAAGGTAGGTATGTATGTACTCAAGATAGGTAGGCTATCCTATATACCTCACTAGGTTAGATAGCTAATTAATTATGTATATACAAAGGCTCTGTTCTCCATACCCAATCCTTTGGCCCCCAACCCAAGCACCAACACTGATGGCTGTGTGCGTGTGCGCGCGATCCGGGTATCATAACGTCGTCATGTGAACGATTGGTTTTTGTCTTACAGTCTCCCCCTTTCTCTCCCTGTCCAGCCTCTTGCGCCGTAAAAAATGAATCAATCAGGTCTCCAAACCAACCAACCAAGTAACCTACCCCCTTTCCCTAGGTAGGTAGTAGTAGTAGCAGGATGCCTGGGCGATAGTGTAATATCAATAGAATAGAAGTAATAGGTACCCCGTTACCACCAGAAAAGCAAGGACCCTAGACACCCGACGCCAACCGAGAACAGCACATGCGACCGATCTGGCCGCTGCAAAAGCGCCCCGCCGCTATCGTCTTTCCTAGATGTTCCCGTCGCCGTTGGAATCGTCATCGCAGCATTATTCCCGCCGTTATGGTGGCCGCCAGCGCCAGCGCCAGGAAAGATAGTCGTCGTAGACGCGTGTGGCGCGCCCAGCGTCCACGTCGACATGCCCACGCCGTCCGGTCCTATCGTTAGCGTGTGGCCCGCGATCACCGTCGTCACCAGTGTCGCCGCCCCGGGCCCGATGTGGAATGTCCGCCCGCTGATCTCGACCGCCGTTAAACCTAGTTGCGTCACCGTTGCCCCGCCTACGATCTCGTACGTAGTGGCATCCGGAGCCGCTGTTATGCCTCCCAAGGTTTCTCCTCCCTCGTGCAAGACTACGCCGGTCGGGGCAACTAAAATCGTATCCCCATCGATGACTGTCGTGAGTGTGCTGCTTCCTAGTGCGATTGGCCCGTACGTTATTGTTGTGCCGGAGATTACCACCGTATCGGAGCCGATGGCTGTGATTAGTTGCCCGCCCATGATGGCTGTCTGCGTCGGCCCGGACCCCGCGGCCACATGCAGCGTCTGGCTGGGGAAGACGAGCCCCGCAGGTCCGATGGTGATCGTTTGTCCCTGGACTACGGCTATCGTCGGCGTGGGCGCGATGGTAAATACCGTGCCGTCTATCGTTGCGATTGAGGAGGGTCCGAGAACGACCCCTAAACCGCCGATGGAGGTTGTGATTGGTGGGGGTTGAGGTGTGAAACCCCCTCCTACGTCGATAGGGGGTCGGGTTACGGTGGCCCCACCACCTACTACCTGGGATGGGTCGATGACAAAGGTCTCGTCTCCCACGACCACAGTGGACGTTTTCTGCGTTGGGCTGTCGGTGAATGTGCGGTCGTCGATGATTACTTCGCCAGGCTGCACTATCACGATTACAGGGGGTCCTCCTCCTCCTCCTTGGTTATTCCCACCATTGGGAGGTGGAGTTGGCGAAACCTTGGCAGACTCGATGGGGGTCGGGTCCATGCCATACTCAGGAGTAATTACGTGGCTACCACCGCCCTCGACCGCCGTGTCGTGAGCATCTGGGCCGGAGGGCGATCCGCCGTAGCTAGGAGGTGCTTGGGTCGGAAATACCACGGCGGGGTTCTTGTCCGTAGTAACGAAGATAACCGTTTCCGTCGGCACCGCGGGATCGGTGGGTGTGACGGTACCTGGTGGAGCGGAAGTGTGGATAAGGGAGCAGGTTTTGCCTGTGCTGTCACAAAAGGTAATGGTAAAGCGACCGGTTGGGCTCTGATGAGGAGTACATGGTATAGGTGTGCTTATAGGCGGGTAAGGGGGTGTGTAGTCGTCTGGATCCCCAGTCCATGTCGTAGTGGATGTGTGAATTATAGAGTAAGAGGTAATCGTTAATGGACCGCTTTTTTTGGCCGGGCACTCGCTTGGCGTAGTAGTAATAGTCGAAGTCGTGCTGACGGTTGTTGGTGGTAGTAAGGTTACGGTGGGTGAGGTAAGTAACGAGCCATCAGAGGTAGTATTCCAATTCCATGGCCTTGACGTCCCATTGAAATCAAATGACGAAGTTAGTGTGGGAAAGGAGGTATCGTCTTCCGTGTTAGAGCTTAGACTACTGACGACTGGCGGGGAAGAAATGATAGGGCTGCCCCTTGTTGGGGATGATGTCGGCAATACGAGCGTTGGCCTCCCAATTGTGGTGATCGTTCCCAGGTTAAATAATGTCCACCAGGGATAAGATTCCGTTGAAGAAGAGCCATCTTCAGAGGGTTCCACGATTACAATGGAAGCGTCACTAGTAAAAGTATCAATTGTCGTAGTTGAGCTGATATCTATAGGGCTCTCATGCGTTTCTGAGCTCGATACTGCGAGATCAGAAGCTAGTATGTCAAACGAGCTGGTGACCACGACGGTCACCGAGCTGTTATACGATGGTATCCTTTTGTAGAACCGACCAGGGCGGGACTCTACTATGTAGTTAATACGGGCGAGTAGCTAAGAAGGAAGACTAGCTAGTCTCAACTAACCATCTTTGTCTCTGACCGATTCCAGGCCATGACTTAGGGACACCACGACACACAGCAGTGTTGAGATAACAAAGAGCATTGCGTACCCAGGATGAGTACTGTCGTTTGCCCTATCTCTCTTTCACCCGGCGCTTACACCGGCGTGTTTACTTCGAGAAGAGCCAACTTCTCGGAATTTTTTACATCTGGAGGGAAACAGAAATGGTTTTATTAGATTACCAGAAATCATGAGCGTCACGTGTAATATAAAAGCGAAGCGAAGCGAGACGAAACGCTGTAATAAAAACAATAAATCCCCCACATGCAATGGCGGGCGGCGAATACGCGGCCGGGCCGTTCGACTTTTTATGTGAAGCGCCATGGCCATGGCATGGCTCTCTCGGGAAGTGGGATATGGAGATATGGGGAGACAAGGGCATATAGAGAGACACAATGGCAGAAGTCCAGGAAGAGTTAAGAGGCTGCCGGTAAAGTGACTCGCAAAAGTACCATATTGAGCTGGGACAGACGAACACGGGACGGTTAGTAGTGACTGGTCGTGGGAATTAAGAAGAAGGAAATTGATTTGCGCCCGTTTTTGGCCTAAGTAGTGGGCCGATTCATTTGGGATGCCGCCTAATAAGGGGGAAAAATGCATATCCCCGGAAAAGACGTTGACCCCATACCATATAGGTAATTACTTCGTATGTATCACCTCGAGCTATCGAATTGGTTTATATGTACTTAACGTATCGTAACTGTGTACCAGCGTTACTACTCCGCGCTCGCGGCGTTACGTGGTACTATTGCAATTCTCCTGTGAAGTGCTATACTATCCAGCCGGTTTATAAGTCGAAGACGAAGAGCCGAAGGGCGATCTTCGGGCATCTTGTATGACCAAGAAAGACAAGACTGGCTACTAATACACACAAGAGCGGAGACCTGGACATTTGAATGGACAATGGTGAAAAGGAGGCGACGATCAATTAAATTTGCCGGATGAAGGCTAGATGGTGATATGTATCGCGAATACCGACCGTCGGGAACTAATGTAAATGTGGGAGAGGCCAGCACTTGTATCGACTCTGGAGAGCGTAGTATTTCGACATAATCATACCTAATTGGGCGGTGTGGACTTAGAATGGATTTCGGATGGACACCAAGCTCCTCGTCTAGACTGCCGGTAGTATCCAGCTTGTATCCAGCTTGACCCTGACGTTTTCCGGCGTAGCTTGTTAACAGCAGCTAATAGGTAATAGCCAATAAGTTAATAGCTACCTATTGTAGGTAAGTAGCTCCCAGATGTCAGGGTGGTGGTAACACGCGAATTGAAAATATGTTTACGACCTCGATGACGTATTATTGAAAATAGAAGCCTAGAAACTTCGGACGAAGTTCGCTGCATCGCCCTGACATAATTCGTAGCCTTGTGGGATTCTTATAGGATTCTCGTCAGATAGCCGTATCAGAAACCAACACCTCAGCATTAGGATCGAGCTGAGCCGCTATTCCTAACACCAACTACGTAAGAATCGCTACGTAAGAATCGCGATAATTACCAACGGGCATATAGCTCGACCGATTCGGGTTTATAGTGTTACGAGGAGGAATAAGCCGACCAAGAAATCCTGCTGCATTCCTTTTCAGTATTCCATGGTCTGGAAGTTAGCGAGTGCGAACTTGCTCTGCTTCGATAGAGCAAACGAAGGATTGCTACTGATTACAAGTATTATCACTTACATATATGTAGGTATATTAGGTAAAGATAAATATGAGAGTTAAATTCCAGTTGGAGACATGTGAAAACTTTAGCTGAGAACTTAAGTTACGGGCAGGTACCTCCGATGGGATTCCCGTCTTTGATCCAATCAGGTATTGGTATTTCCTCTTCTCGGACAAGAGTTGGAACTTGCCTTAAGAATTCTGAAAGACGAAAGAAGGGGAGGAGCGGGGTGAATAGTTTTAGGTACCTAACCTAGGTACAGCAGATTTGGGGGATGACCCACTGATCTCAAACCACCTTCCAATTCCCTCCGGCTCCTCCAAGTCGTCATTATTATCACTTATCTCAATCCTATGCTTTTCTACCTAGGAGGTACCTATTTCTTTTCCAATGTGAATAAATCTATAGTATGGCATATGTATTTTCCACGTATGAAAAACCGATTATCGCACTTCATGTATACACCACCGTCTAAATACCGCAAAAACATATGAGTTGATAAGTAGAGGTACGCGCGTTCTATCGTCGGTTCCGTCGCCTTTTATTACTCGACACATCGGCAGAAAAGGACTACGTCGTTTCTTATTTACCCAGCCCTGTCCAATCTATCACGTATTAACCTATTTCGGCCATTGCCCAGCTTTTTATGCGACGATCATCAGATACCCCTAAACTTCTAACGGTTAGTACATGTTCCGCTTTGCTACGCCGTACGTATTCCTTGTTAGATAATCGAGAACGAGGACCTTGGACTGCCGAACGCGCAAGGATAGGGTCATTTCGACATAACGCAGTACAACGCAGTAATTCTACGAACTGTTATAGCGTCGTTGCGGCGGAGAAAAAGTCCCAGGCGTTCCCAATTAGTCACAATAAGGGATATTACATATTTACTGCATAGCACAATTCCATTACAAGCCCACCTAGCTGGAGATCTACTACATATATGTATACCTAGACCTAGGTATCGACTTATAAGCTACGGGTAGCTAGCTCTAGCGTTATCGACACCATCTTAACGTAGGAGGATCTGGGGAATAGTAGGCCGACAAGCCACGCGAGAAGACAAGGTACATACGACTGTCAGAGCCGAGACTCGTCTCATTCGCTTGTCTTCCCTTATCCAGTTTTCCGCCCCTCTCCTGCATGGGCAGACAGATGAGGTACATACAACCAACTGGTTAGGTGCTACATCTTGGGGTCCCTACGTATTCTTGTTAGTGTTATACCACCACTGGCACGCCCCACGCCTGGAAAAGGCTTAAAAGTTACTCCTTGTCGAATGTATTTATGCATTCCTATGATTGGATACTAGCGAGGTTACCAGCTACGTAGGTATGTACATATCCCAAGACCGGTGATAGAATTCCATGTTCCATATTCTATGCGGCCATGCAAGCTGGCAGGTAGCGTGGCTCTGACCCCTGACAGGCACAACCCCCGACATCTCCACTGGCGAGACCATGGTGACTTGCATTTTAGCCACAAGGTGAACCCCATACCCTGCACGGTAGCAAGATAGCACGCTCCGTCGATCTGCATACGCTGCGAGTGGGCGTGACATGTATGGCATGGACCATAGCAGGCATGGCATTGGGCAGTGCTTGTAGAACCGTTCATTACCTGCGCCCGGCAGATCCCGCCACTGACGGAAATCCGCTTCGACTTGGTTGTTTCGTCTATCTTTTTTTTTCTTCTTGCACCTAATCTACCGCGGATTTAACTCGATAACGTTATACACGACTAATCGATCTCAGGCGTAACGGTAGAGACGCCACGACGCCCGCAATCGTACCAAACTGCGTCGATTTTCGCATTTTCGCATTTTCGGAATTTGATGGATTTGGATCAAAGTTACGTTGACGTTTCTGCGAGCTCCATGAAGCTTGGGAAGGGAAAAGGCTGGTGACCTTGCGCGTCTCCTGTACGACTGCCGGGTTGGTGCGATAGGCCGGACAATGTTTACGTATCTCCTTGCGACTATCATCGGGACGTTGCTCGTACCCGATCTAGTCAATGCCGACGACCTCAGCGCTTTATGGATCGAGCCCTCTCTGAACTGGCATGTGTACTTGGAATTCTTTTAAGATGGGGCATGGAGTTAATGGTGATTTAGGTACGGCGTTGACGGCAATTGGTCTTCGATCGGCCTCTTCGTAGGAGAACCAGCCCAGGAGATAGATGTTCTTGTGAGCACGAGCCTATCCGAGATATGGGTTGTCGAATCCAGCGGTTGCGGTCCCAGTAAGTTTTTAGATGCGAATCTGGGGCAACGCAAATTATACATTTAAGACAGTGTTCTAACATATTTCGATTAGATGGCCAATGCGTACAAGCTCGTGGAGGCGTCTATAACACTAGTGCCTCGCAAAGCTGGTCTTCGCTCGGTGCCTGGCAGCTTGGCTTAGACTACGTTGGAGTTGGAGGCAATGGCGACTACGCGATGGAGACTGTTGTCGTATACGACAGCGTACGTCGTTGGCAGACTTCTTTCAACAAACAAGTTGTAGCTGGCGTCAATGAGACCGGTTACTTCAATGGGCTCTTCGGCTTAGGTATCACACCTGGTCGTTTCAACAACGTCATCGTACAGAGTCCAATTGCTGCGTTAGTCGAGCAAGATGGCACTATCCCGAGTCACAGTTATGGCTACACTGCTGGAGCTTATTATGGTGAGTACTGGAGCAAACCTATAGCCATATACAGAGTGCTAATAATACCTAACTAGCTGGCGAGCGAGGAATTCCGTTGTCTTTAACGTTGGGTGGGTATGATGCAAACCGCTTTGAGCCCCATGACACAAAATTTAGCCTTAATGCGACCTCGAGACAACCCGAGGTGCTTGTGAGAGCTATCACAACCTCGGTTTCTGATGCCAGCCGGGCTCCAACTCCCTGGCCAGCTACGTCAATCCCATTATCATCATTTAATGAATCTGTGACAGCTGTACTTGACAGTTCCACACCTTACTTGTGGCTTCCGTCAAATATTTGCGACCGATTCGCTGCTAACTTGAATCTTACGTGGAATGAGACATATGGGCTTTATGTGTTCTCGAACAACGAAGACACTGATAATCTGGAGCGATTCCGTTCGTCACCGGATCTCTCGTTCACTTTTACCCTATCGAGTGCAGAAAACCATGACAACTTCGGACAGCCTCTCAATGTGCCAGGAGTTGTGAACATTACCGTCTCCGCTAATGCATTTATTCAAACCCTTCGTTATCCGTTCATGAACATTATTAACTACACTGCAGCGGCGGTCCCCTATTTCCCTTTGAAGCGAACTGAGGCCAATGGCCCAATTATTATCGGAAGATCCTTCTTCCAAGAAGCGTATTTGATCACAAACTATGAAACCAGTAGCTTTTCAGTTCATAAAGCTAAATTCCCAGAGAGACCACTTCGAGATACATCTATCCAGACTGTAGCAACCTGGGAGCATAGTCCATACCCCGGCCCACCCCCGCGACCCGACCAAGGAGGAGGTCTTACCCAGCCGCAAACTGTAGGCTTAGCAATAGGAATATGTTTTCTAGGTATAGCCGCCGTTATAGCTTTCTTCGTATTGCGCCGAAGGAGGAGGAAGCAGCGAGAAGCGGATAATAACGATGAGACTTTCAAAGATAAAGCTTCGACGATCGACTTGTCGCCGCCAACTACCCCGGTAGCTCGTATTGTTTCAAAGATGTCGAAGAGATACGCGAATAGGAAAGGTAGGAAGGGGAGTACCCGCTCCACTACTACCCATGAAAATATCCGCGAAGAACTTGAGGAGAGCAACGAGCCGAAGGTGTATGAGTTTGCTGCAGACCAAACTCATGAACGCTACGAATTACCAGGTCCAGAGCCCGTAGAGTTGGACGGCACCATGGCTAGGCACGTAATGAATGCTAGTAAGAGGCAAGATTACAGAATGAACGAGTACGAGTTTGGGAAGCATCAGTTGGAACGGCAAAAACAGGGGTTGGTGCCAGAGTATGTCCCTCGTACAGCAGAGTCGCCAACTAGAATGTACCACAATATCAGTCCTGTGGGACAGTACGGACAGATGAACCGTATCGCCGAAACCCCTTCACCAGCTTCAAGTCCAACGTATGATACTCAGAGTAATAACATGCCTTCGCCGTTGAGTTCTCAGAGCGACTGGACAAATAGGATGACGGAGGCCTACTCCCCTATGGGGTTTGTCCCCACTCAAACCCTTTCCCACTCGGCCTCAAATCCGAATCTCACCTATACTCCGTCATCGCCGTCCTCATGGAGCAACCCTGGATCAGCTTCACTCGCCCGGTCTGCTTCCACCGCCGGGTTCTCGACATCGCATGCTCCTTCGATTGTACCGCCTCCTGCCTCATTCCAAAGAGCACCTATCGATGCATCACGAGTAATATGTCTTGGCCCTTTACCGGATAACGTCCAATTACCCCATCAACCCGCTCATACCCCCGAAACTCCTCAGACCACCCAGCCATCAATACCTGGGATTGTTGGTAGCGATGGCCAGCCGATTGCTTACCCTCCTATGCCTCCTATTCCAGATAACGACGAATCTCAATATGACTCTCGCCGTGCATCTCGCCGCGTGTCTAGAGCCGACACACTTGGAAGTAATTACACTATCGAGGAGGAAGCTCGCATGACCGCAGCGCGTGAGCAAAACTTTCTTGGCCGAATAGACGGCCCCGATCTTATCCATATACCCCAACCAGCGTCACAACGATATAGCTGGGAAATGCCCTGATATATAACCCAACATCTGTAATATCCGTGAAAGGCCTCGCTCCGTAAGGTTCCGATCACATTTACCCAACTTTACTTGACGCATTTTATTTTTATATTTCTTTTGAACTTTGATACCTACGCACCTATACATTTGTATATACTAGCAAAGGAGTTGGAGGCTTTTTTTTTGTTTACATATTCCCCAGATGCATGCCTCGTTTCGATGATGACGAAGAGCACGGGTATGCCGGGGAGGGCCTCTCTCCCCGTGCATCGGAACGGCGTTCGAGTTGGAGGCAAACATATCTATCTTTATCTTTTTATTTTATTCCAACCGTGCGGCGACACCGCCTACCAAAACTGGGAGGTGGTGTTTGGGCGGGCGGAGGAATTGTACTTAATAATTGTACATGCGCAACGAGGAGACGGGCGGAGCGTCGATCGCCTATGGATCTATGATAGGTGGAAGAACGGAGTGATTACTGATACCACTACCATGGTGTTGATACCACGAGGGCACGCGTCGTGTTACCCGCCGCGTGCGGCGTTTGGTATAGACGACCTAGCTATGCCTAGGTACCGAGCTACAGAAAATAGGAAAAATAGAGACCGCTCTCTTAAACAATGTCGTCTACCTATTCTTATTGGCTATTTAGTGATTGGTTACCTAGTTGTGTGTTTCCTCGTGTATGAATTGCGTAGACCAAACCACGGTATGTAGTAAGAAAACATCCCCCGGAAGGAATAAACAAGCATCAGATACTAGGTAAAACTAGATACCTATCATCTACATATCACATTGTACATTGGACATTTAGTAATATACGGCATATGTGCGATATCAAGGACATACGTACATACTACAAGCAATCACTAGAACAAGATTTGATACTTTGTGCACAGCAATAATATATATAAACGATTTCTTATGGACGAAGCCAAAGGCATTGATTGTAAAGCCGTATCAACTAATTAAGCCCTCTTTACGGGCAAGAAGATAAAAAATTGTAGAAACAATCAGGGAACACAATACTAATATAATACCAAGAACGTAATTCCTCCTCTGCCAAAGGCCAGGGCGTCAAACAGCCTTCCCCTTCCCCTTCCCCAACCCGCTTCCCCCGAGCGTAGGAAACTCATCGTCTACATCTTCCAAAGCCGCCATGCTTGCCTTCCTACTTTCTTCCTCCGCGAGACTAAGTTGCAACGCAAACTCCAGATCGTCATCGGCAACCGAGTTGGAGCTTGTTGCAGCGAAGCTCGGAGATTCGGCTTGTTTGACGACGGGGGTATGACTCGACGAAGGCGAGCTGCTGAACGAAGATTTCGTGATTCTCTTCTCCTTAATCGTAATCGGAGCCGCGTATTCTCCAGAACTACTAGCCCTTGGTGAACTTCCCGTGTCGTTGACCCCCTCCATGAGAGACAAGCGAATCGCGGCTTGAATCTGGCGCTCGTAGTCACTCTCGTCCGCCGTGTTATTATTATTAGCGCTAGAACTAGCCGCCAGAGGACTTGGATCTGTTACGCTTGGATCGGGGGTGACGGTACTGTTAGAACTAGACGTCGTATCGAAATCTGCAGCGGATCCTGTGTCGCTAGTGCTTGTCCGGCGTTGCCTGTCGAGAAGGAAGGACTCCTGAGACATCATTTCAGCATAGCGTAAAGCCTCCTCTTCTGTCAAATCCCCAAAGCCAACGCCGAAGCGGGAGCGAAGTCGAGCTTGTTCTCGATCCTTGTGCTGTTGCTCATTTCGTAGTTCTTCAGCTTCGGCGGCAATGTAGCCCTCGACGCCACCGCCGTGACGTCGACCGGAGGCCCGACCATGAATATCAGAATGGCGATGCCGGCGCTTGCGCCCCGTAGTATAGTTTGAAGAACTATAAGCCCAGTAGCGCACAAATGTTCCGAATGCCACCATTCCGTGCAAGACCGTTGGATCGGGATCTAGGTAGATGGCCCCAACAGCCGAGAAATTTGTAGTATGCGACGCAGGATTGGTGAGGAGTAAATGGCGAGGCATCCGGCCTGGAGACCGAGAATTGATGGTCCTCAGAGGCTCCAATGTAGACGCTAGGGGATCCCAAGCTTGGACAAGCCCGTCGGTACCGCCATGCACCAGGTAAAGAGCCGATAGGGCCAAGCAAGAAATCTCAGGGGACTCTGTTTGGATGATTCTGACGGGGTGTACGCCGTCACCAGTATGAAGTTCTCGCGTATTCCACAGTATAACCTTTCCCTTGTTCGTGCCCACACCGAACAGTCTCGCCCGTCTACCGGGAATATCTGATGGAGCTTGCCTAGTTGGCGTTGATGGGCCACTCGAAGCTAAACCCGCCGTGGCTTTCAAGGGGTCTTCAAAAGAAGCAATTAGAGCAAGTTGTGAAGTGTCCATGCTACTCGCAGTTATCTGCGTATTGCCAAGTTCTTTCGAGCAAAAGCACGTCTCAGACCAATCATCCAGATCTAACTTCCCAGTACCAGTCATATTTAGCGGAGACGACTTCTCCGAAGCTGACAATACTTGCTTGAGTAACGGCGAACCAGACGAATTTGGAGAAGGTAATCTCATACTGTCGCCGCCGAATATAGAGGGAGCTGGGGCGACCTCTACTGTGGATTCCGGACTGGTAACTGGCCGAGTACTAGATTGGGTTCGACCTGTAATACTTCGCTGGAACCTCTTGATAGCCGAAGTTTGGTCTTCCTCCAGCGCGCAATCAAGGATGAATACACTTTCACCGGCTCCACGTTCGTCATCATTTGCGAAATCCACCTCAAGCTTTCGACGCATATCCCACCCATGGCATACCTTGCGGAAATGAGCTGGTTTATAACGGAGAAACCTTTCAATCTCGCGAGCTTCTGCAGCCATTTGGTCTTTGGTGAGACCCATGCTATCCGAGGGCGATCTTGGGGAATAAGCCCCACGGACCGCATTTTTACCTAACTCATCCATACGCGCCTGTCGTCGACTAGCTTCTACCAGATGCCAAGATGTCGAGCGACCTGTATACCATGCGAGCTTGACGGTATCATCGGCTTTTGTCTTGCTGGTAGGTGCAATTGGGGGTTGTGTTAGGTAGTATACCTCCCCCAACGCATTCAGAGCCACTGCCCACACTCGACCGAGAGCTTTACGCTTCTGGCTATAGCTTTCATCAACTTTGAGTGCGATGATAGGCACGCCTGGACTGAGCACCCAGCGGGCGCTCATCTCACCCGCGGCGTATCGTGGGCCGCTAGGATCGTAACCAAGCGCATATGAAGTCACGACACCCAACGAAGAGCCGGTCATGATCCCTACCAACGATTGGGTCATAGAGGGAAGAGCAGAGGATTTAGCGATCCAGACTGCACAGACGCTCTCAGAGAGCTCTGGGATCTTTGGAATATCGGGATGGGCCTCAATGAGTCCTGTTTCTTGGCCAAGATGTTTGCCCCTATACTCACTACTTGAACGATAGAATACGCGACCGCCGGGAAACCCTTCTCCAGCAACAAGTCCATACGGTTGGCTAACATCCATGACGTTAGGAACAGCAGCGGGACCTTCGCCGACCCCATAAGGTAAAAGAAATGGCACGACTTCGTCTAATTGAGCAAAGCCTATCTCATCTAAACCCCATTTCTCAACTTTGCCACAGGTAGGATCGCTAGCACTAGCGATTCCCATTTCCGATGCGCCATGAACTACCCTAGGCGGCTTCTTCCCACCAGGGTTAAAGGTAGCATGAATATGGGTCACTGGTGTCGGAGCTTTAGTGTTATAAGTCAAGACCGCACTTGCCTTCTTACCGGACTGGCTAGTCCTCAAGGAAGAACCGATACCTCCGGAGTTCGATCCCGGCTTGCCCCTAACAAGACTACGGAGAAGTCTAGTTCTCAAAAGATACTCGCTACGCCAGGAAGCATGTGGTGTAAGCCGCGTAAAATGACGAACTTCTGAACGCACGAGGTCCGAATCGTCTTGGTCCCATATTCTACCATGAGGCTTAACAGCCGTGACCAATGCGTCCTGTCCAGGAAAAAACCGCTGGAAGGCCATGCGCCACGCATGAGGGGTGGTGACCAACGAATAAAATCGTTTCGATACTAAGGCTACAGATGCATGCGAGTCGGGATGCAAATGCGATAAGATATGCGTTAAAATCTCTACGATATAATTAGACTAAATACTAATATTGAGGGGCATTTAGATAGTATACCATTAGGGAAATCAGACAGTTGAACGCCGTCAGAACCCGCATCGGCGCGTTTAATGACCTTAAATCCAAGTGCTTGCCTCGGTATGGTTGGTGTCAATGCGCTCTCATATGCTGATATACGTTGGCCCAGGGCCTTAGATCGCCTCGCATCCGGCTCGCCACGAGCGTTGTTCAATCGGCGCAAACGTTTCTGGAGGGAATCCGGATCAACGCTTTCTCCACTAACTCCAGCGCCGACGTCTCCCCGCGCAGACAACGGCGACATGTCACCAGACTGTTGTTGCAGTAGGGAGCCATGGGCGTTGCCACTAGAACCATGGTGCTGAAAGCCATGTTGTCGGAGGGGTTTAGGGGATTGAGAAGTGCTATCTAGTTGAATATTATTTGAAACCTCGGAAAGCTCTTGTTGCATAAAGTAGAGCGTGAGAGACAAGTGGAGAATATGATTTTGACTGTGCAGAAGAAGATAGCACAGTCAATGATTGGTATGGTTCTTGTAGAAAAGAAGAAAGGGCGCGCTATGAAGTTTGCGATGCTATGATACAGTCAATGTGAGGTTGAGAAACTGAGGAGGAAATTTGAAAGATGGATGGATGACTGGCTTCACTGCCGGTAATTTCCTATCCTCCAACGAACGAGACGTAATCTTTAGCCAAACCCAATTAAGGTTAGCCCCGAAGATTTACCGGTGGACTTGCAATATCACATGTGTTAGTTAGGTGTATGTACAGGTAGTAACTACCTCATATCAGAATATCAGACTAGGTTTGGAAAATCAAGGTTCAAGTAGGAACAAATGAGATGTTATATTTAGGCGTGGTTGTGTGTATATAATACTTCATACAAATAACTCTAGTAATAGCTGCTATCTTAATCATTAATAAAGACAAAAAACACTCACACCAAGTCAATATCAGCTAGATATTATAGAACATTGCGCGAAGCTCTCAATATACAAAGCAACCCAGCCAAAGGAACTTTTAATAATTTTCTTTTCGTCTATTCGTGGTATATGTCAACCATTACACACGACGGCTCTAGAGGGCCGCTAATTGGGTTGTCTCGACTTCTCCTTTTTTTCAACCATCTTCCTTCAACACCAGATTCGAATTGGACGTGTCTATTCGGAGCAGGCGTGATAGTCATAAATATACAATTCCACGGTCAGTCGTTGCCGCGGGCCCTCTAGAGCCATCTTCAGCATCCGTTTCCTCCTTTCAGCCTCTACTCCAAACCGGCACGAAGCATCTTGCCTCCCTTCCGACTCCCGCAAGTGCAAACAAACGCATTAGATTAAAGTACCTTGGTCACCAGATCCCCGCCAGCAAAAGGTGGGCCGAGATCTTCATAGATGCCAAGGATTCGTAGTTAATTTTTTCGGTGGCATATTCAAACATCTTTGAAAAAGCCAGCCATCTGAGAATGTAAATCACAAGAAAACCTAAGTGAATGCTCACAAGGGTCGCAATTCCTTAGGTAGGCCGCCCACAGTGGCTCGGCAACGCCTCCTGGATGGGTATCGAACTATAAAAATAAAACGGATGTGATGTGTAGGTCATGGACGATCGCTCAGTTCCAGCCAAGAGAGTTCTCAGCTGCGACAGGCGCCGAGATGTTCGCAGTGCGTGCCGAGCTGTTCATTCCGCTCCTCCCACTGCCCTGGCTGTCACGAGTATTTCCTCCAGCCCCACCGTATCCCGGATTACTTGTGAAGTCCCGACTCAGCAACGCACCACCCATCAAAGCTGGGCTTCCGCTCTGTCGCATCTCGGAAGGCAAGGTTACGGAGCTGCTTCGCTGGTGTCTCTGCTTCTTTCGCTTGTAGCGGCGGGCAATGATGAACATGGCAGCACCATATGCACCGGCAACACTGGCAGCACCAACAGCAATACCAGCGGTCATTCCCTGTTGCGCGCTTGTCGTCTTCTCGTTGGGACCCTGTGTATCAAATGGGTCATTGTTGTTGGGAGTACCAGCATCGGTTGAACCATCTCCACTGCTTCCGCTGGAACCGGGAACACCATCAAGCAGATCACCTGGCATGATACCAATGGCCGGGTTAATCTCACTCGTCAAGTTCTTCACTAGAGGATTCTTGTGATTGTACAAAGGAGTTGTAGGGTATCCAATATCGTTGCTAAGCTGGGCAATACCCTCAGTAGGATAGTAGACCATGGCTTGCGAGGTAATGTAGCCCAGGCGAGCAGTAGTGTCGTAAGGCCTAATGCTATACATTTTGACCCTGCTAATATCATAGCCACCGCCGAATGCAAGACCTTGAGGGAGGAGTACAAACATCTGGGAAGCAGCTAGAGGCTCGTCCACGAGGTGCTGGTAATTCTCACCGAATAGGAATGAGATCTGGATGAGCGTTGTACCATCGGGCTGCTCTGGTGGCTTCGTGGAAGGAGTAATAGCCTTTGGTAAGGACGTTGGAATTCCTGTAGCGGTATGAGTCACGCCAGTGCTGGGAGTGCTAGTGGATGACTGGACAATGATCGTAGTTGGGAGCCAAGACTCAGAATCCGTAATTGTCGCAGTCGCAGTCGCACTAGTAAACGGCCTAGGCGTCGATGTAGTTGTAGGCGTAGGCGTAACAGAGGAGCTGGTCGAAATGACAATCGGAGTCTCAACACTTGAACTTGTGGAAGTTTCGATAGTCGTTGTCGGCTGGGAACTGGTAATCGGAGGAACAGTCGTATTGAGAGGAATTGAGAAGGTACTAGTGGGCACAGTAGAAGGCACAGAACTGGGTGCCGAGGTAGGCACAGAGGTAAGAGAATCCGTTGACGAGACCGTAGAGTTAGGCGTCACAGTAGGAGACGTAATGGTCGGTAGGCTACTGGAGTCAGATGTCGTTGTGCTGTTGCTAGGAACTGGAGTAGCAATCGTGGTTGGCACGCTGACGCTGCCGGATCCAGTTGACGAAGCAGTTGTTGATTCCGTAGTGTTTCCAATAACCGACGTTGGGATTGAAACGGTCGACGAGCCTGTACCAAAAATCGGCGGTAGCGATAAAAGGGGAGTTTCCGAGCTTGACGCAGACGCAGTAGGAGCGGCAGAGGCAGAGGCAGAGGATGTGATAGAGGCCGTAGGAGCGGTGCCAGGGAATGATGTCGTCGGGAAAAGAGAGAGAGATGTAGGCAGAAGGGTCGGTAACAACCCGCTCTCCGTGCTGCTCGTGCTAGTTCCGATAGAAGCGCCTGTACCCGTGCTTGTGCTCTCGCTCACTCCTGTGCTAGACTCCGTGGCGTTGGCAGTCGGCGACGGAAGAACGGCGCTCGTAATATCACCCACGGCACTTGTAACTCCACCGACAACACTGGTTATGCCACCAATAAGTCCGCCATCTGAGCTCGTAGAAGCCGGAGCGCTAGAAGATGGGGTCACAACACCCGTGGGAGCTATAAGAATACCTGAAGAAGACGAAGGCACCGTTGTCGTGTTGGCTTCGATCGTAGATTCGGTTACGGGTAGGGCACTAGTATCAACAGTAGAGGATTCATTCTTAGACTCAGCAGTCGTTGTCGGTGCGGCAGTAGTCGTCCCCGTCAATGTTCCTGTCGAGGACGTGATCGCCGTCTTGTTAGCGGAAGAAGATGTGGTCACTGGCGGCAATAGAGTCGGGAGATCCAAGCTAAGTGTTGGTAACACGATTAGCGGGGGAACCCCTCCAGTAGAGCCTACGCTGCTGCTACTGCCGCTGCTAGTACCGCTGCTAGTACCGCTGGTGCCGCTGGTGCTGCTGCTTGTACCGGTGCTGCTGCTGCTGCTTCCCGTCTTAGTAGACGAACCCTTGGATTGAGTCTGGGATTCAGACTGGGACTTGGACGACTGGGGCTCCGACTGAGTCTGGGACTGAGACTGAGAACCGGATTCGCTCGTGGGAGATGTACCCGTTACGGAAGGAATCCGAGTGGGGGACGATGTGGATGAGGATAAGGTAGACGAGGTAGAGGACGTAGACGATGAGCTCGTTATTGTCGAAGAATCAGTTGAGTCCGAAGATCCACCAAGAAGACTCGACAACAAGTCGGAAATCGTATCCTTCTTAGTCGAGGAATGAGTTATCAAATCCGACAACGACGACGATGACGACTCCTCGCTTTGGGTACTCTGCGATGCCGAACTCGTAATTGTGTGGTTAGTATACTGCCTCTTGACGTGTCTAGGAAAGTAGATCTTTGGTCTATTTTCCGGCTCGGCGCTTGCTAGCGACGCAGCGGCCACTAAGGCAGCTACGACTAACGACCCCTTATGCATAATGACTTAAAATTAAGGTTTAACTTCTTGACAAGCAGATTTGACCGTTAGTTGACAGCTACAGCGGGTATAATTCGATATAGTTAATTGACGGCTATGCGAAATCGTAACTGAGAACAAAAATGTTAGTCTCACCAGATGGCGAGGAAATATATCCAACTTAGCTCTCTACCTACTGTGTCAGGATAATTTGGAACGAATGTACTTGACAAAAAAATGTCAACGAGTGGATGCTGTGGGCAAGATTGTCAGCACTTTACGTCCTGTCCGCAGCAATATTAAGAGTGCACGACCGATCCACGGTAGATCCCCATATGAAGCAGGCGTGGGTCAAGGAAATCTACTCCATTCTTCTATATCCTCTCGATGACGATGACTTCCAATGATAATACGCTCTTCACTGACCTTATTCACAAGCAAAATGGTTTTGTTATATAGTAGTAGTTGTTGTTATTGTTGTTGTTGTTTTTTCAAAAGAGCGGCGCGACGAATAAATCGTCAACTTAGATCTGGGCTGGTAATTCCAATTTGGTATATTGTGTGATGTTCACGACGTATCGCGCGGGCGATTCCTCAGCGATGCATTGGCCTTGCCGGTGGATGATCGACTACGAAGCAGTCGTCGGGTTCGCGGTCAAGGCTCCAAGGTAGTTGGAGGACCAGCGCCGAGAGGGTATATTGTCGTCGAAAGGTGTACCTTACGAGGTCGGCGAAAGGGAAAAGAGCGAAAGACGGAAGAGGTAGGGTGGAGGGCGAAAGGCAAGGCAGGTCGAAGGGGTAAATGAGAAGCAGCTGGAGGAAACGTGAGAGAGGGAAAGTGTGGAAGAGGAGTAGTGGCTAAAGGTGCCAAGGCACTAAATCCCAGGGGTGGTGCCTCGTTATTGATCAGTCTGTTCATTGATCAGGGGAGACGGACCAGGGGGAGCCAGGGAAGGGGGTGGAGTTGAGATGGCTAATTACTTGGAGCTAGTACATAAATAGCTTAGTGGAATTGGGGAGCGATATTGGACTCTCTTCTTTAGGAAATGGGGCCAGAACTAACCTTTTTTTGAGCCTTGTTAGAACTGACAAGCGTACTATATGTAACTAAGTACTATGTACTAAGTATGCAAAACATTTGTTCATTCCCTATTCTATTGTTAGATCTTG